TGGGTTTTGTCCTGCATTGTTCCCAGTCTCTCTCGAAGACTCCAGACAAAAGGGGCAGAGTGTGGGCGGAGAATCGGAGTTGGTGACACAGCCTAATCAGGATTTCAATCATGCTAATGGATGTGATTAACTGCATACTTCTCCTGGAAGCTTCCTGCAGCTGCACAGGAGTAGCCTGATAGCCAGAACTGCATGAGGGAACTGCTCAGCCCAGGGTAATCTCCAGCTACACCACGTGTGGCACGTCACCCAGGGTGCAGGGATGCACCTAATACTTAGCCTTAATTCCTCCCACATAGCAAATCTTCCCCCGTGCCAACGCAGTCATCTGGGGCAGGCTGCACAGACTCCGGCCCTGTTTGTGCTGAGGTCTCTCCACACAAGCAGGTCACCACACCACGAGGCTGGAATTCTCACCTTCACACACAAATCTGGTACGAGGCCTGCAGCGTTGCACGAACAGGCCTCAATTATGCAGCTAAAACTGATTTTTGCTTGCTAGCTTTAGTCCAAGTCACAAGGACACAGCTAGCTTTCCCTTGGAGTTAGCATCTTGCTACCTCTTACGAGAGCTCCTAATTCAGTGGCAGCCACTCTGGGGAAAAACTCCAAGAGGAGCCAGACAAGGATGAAAAAAAAAAAAAAAACAAGAAAAATGCTTTTCTAACAGTTGGGTAGGCAGGGAAGAAGTCAGACCCTTCCCTCCCTGTTCCCTCAGGCAAGTAACCCACCAGCCTCCCACCTGGCAGCAGTTCCAAGGGAAGGACACGCACTTTGGAGCTTCACCACACGCACTACCCCTCACACACACATCCCCCTGCAGCTCGGCAGCAGACCTCCACCTCCCAGCACCACGTCCACCTCCCAGCACCACGTGCCTGCTGTGTTTTGCAGAGCAGCAACTGCAGACAGGCTGCTATCAGCACCCGTTTGGACAACACAGGCATCCCGGGCGCTGTCACACAAGTCTAAGACTAAACTCGTTGGGGAGGGCAGGGCTGTTCCCAAACAAATCCTTGACACTCTGACTTTTTATTATTTTTTTTTTTAGAGCTTAAACACTGCTCCAGTATCACACTGGTGTCTGTCCATAGTCCTTTGGGTTTAGAATTCCAGCACAGCGCAGTTTGAATATCACAAAACTCTGAAATAATTTGGAACATTTATAGTTTCAAGCTGTATTAAGGAGCCTCCCTGTGAACAAGACAGAGCAGTAGTGTGAGCCAGAAGCATTGTGCTTGTATTGTTACCAAGTTAAAAATCTGCATAACATCCACAGCAACTGATTTCGCTGACCTTTCCGTCCCACGAGAAATTCTTTTACATGTGCAAAATACCAAGTCATGAAACTGGCTTCTGAGATGTGGGAGGCCGCAGAAGTTCACGGTTAGGGACAGGAGGGTGATCTGGACGAGCCTACCTGCACACCCAGTTCACACGGGCTGTACTTTGGCAGCCTGGCTTTTATGCCACCCCCTCGAGGATCTGATCCAAAGTACATTTACCCTTCCCTCCGGGAGATGAACTCTGCAGCAGGGGACAGCAGCGATGATGGCTCAGGCTCAGGCTGCTCTGCCACCGCTCTGCAGGCTGTAATCACAGAGCCTGGCATTTCTCTGATCTACATTTGAGTATGATCTAACCTGCCTCCGAGGAGATACAAAACAGAAAATGAGTTTGATAGCACTGTTAAGACATGAGGAAGCCATACACACGGGCATTTGACTAAGCAAGAGATTCATCTATTTTAGTTGGGGCAGGAAGCATAAACATGAAGCTACAGGAAATAACTCTGCCTTTCAGAGCAGTATCAGCTTCTTCCAGTTTGCCTTTCAAACTCCAGAAGCACACACACAAAATATATTTTCGCTGTCTGCAATCAGACTGGCATCAACACGATGAGTAACATGCCTTGAGCTCTTAAGTTTCCGAGGAGGAGACATGGATTTTATCTTCAATCTACATCGAGACTGGCAAGATAAATTATTTGGGATTTTTTGGACTAGACCAAGGTACAACTATATTCTATTTGTCTTTTAAGTAACCACCACTTTCATTTGAATTGCAAGTAGCTCGAATTCATCTTCACAGATTCATACCCTGTCTGACCAGTGGTTTCCCTTAGTCATAAGTTTGGCATAGATCAGAATTTGGAAGTCTGCACATCAATGTATGTGGAGACAAATGCAATTTAGGGAGCAGTTATTAGCTGAAGATAATGAATAGAGAGTTTATTAAACAGCAGGTGAGCTGAAGAATAGCACACAAGAACAAGAAAAGCACCAGGTGGTACGTACAAACTGGCCCTGAACTCTACAAGAACTCAAATTTGTTTTAATGGCTCAGATTCATTTATTTCTAGGGAAGAGAGGCAACCACTAAAACACAACAGGGGTTGGGACCTCAATTATAATTACTGCTCCATTCACTAAAATTAAGGCTGAGTCAGCCCTTTCTACTAACTCTGGAGGGATATGTAATTTATTTGTTTAAACTGAGTATTCATCAGACTTCATAGAACAAGCTTAAGAATGGAAATCAAGTCCTAGCCCAACCCCCGTGCAGCCTTACCTACTGCTCCTTTGAAAAACAAAGTTGTTCCCATTTTCATGGTGTTTCTGCTGACCGGGTTGTCTTGTGCTCACGCTGTTGAGGGGCAGGTGGGTGGTGGAGGGCGTTTAATGCCGCGATAGGACAAGTTCACTTTGGTATTTAAAACCTAAACTTCACTGGCAAGCATCCTTAGAAGTTAAATGAAGGAGCACCCTGAACCAAGTACCTCAGAGGCGGCGTTGCCACCTTTACGTGAGACTTCCCAGCACCACGAGGCACGGCATATGCAGATACCAGAAGTCATCCACGCTGCTTTCAGCAGCTTATGGGAGCTCGCCCTGCCATTATTCACCTCCCGGCCTCTTTCCTCTGCTCTCTACAATGCCCACAACCCACTCGGACAGAGCAGAAGGCAAGGACTGAAGCGAGGCCCTGGCCTGCAGCACCACAACGCTCGTAACCTTCAAAGCTTCCCACAGACAAATTGGAGATGTGCTCCAACAAGTTGCCCAGATAACCCGCACGGGGAGGTCCTGCGATTCCTAGCGCTGAGCTGCGGTGCTCAACGCTCCTCAGAGCCAGCCCGAGGATCACGGGCCAGCAGCACATAAACCGACTGACAGAGTCGTTAGCTTTTAAGAAACTACCTGATAAAGCTAGATATTAATTGCTTAGCGAGTGTCCCCTGCCATAAGCACACAGGCGAGGGGCTGGATCCTCCCCATCATCATCCGAGGGCTCGCTGGACGCCCACAGAGCTGTGCCAATAGCAACATCGGGCTCTGGCTGAGCTTCCAGTGCCACAATCTGCAAGTCACTGACACCTCTTTGTATTATTTGATCTTTCCCTGGTGTCATTTCTGTAGAGACACACAAAACAGATTTAATAATATCTGTGTCCTTCAGCCTGAGAGTGAATTGCATTCACAAGCATCAACTACTCTCCCTTTGGGCTAATTATTTCTCACTAAGGTGTCATTATTTCACAAAGAAAACCGAGCACATTGCTGCCACTGCAACAGAAAGTCAATTAAGCTATTTTCAAAATTGAACAGTCCACCTCATCTGATTTGAGGAGGGCAAGAAGCCCTGAATCCTCCGAAACACGACTAAAAGGAGAGTCAGAAGCCTCATCAGTTCTCGTAAGCCTCCCCCTTTCTCCCTGCCTAAGTGACTACTTGGCTGGGCAAAACTGCTTCATCATAATGATGTTACAGCCTTGAATATTGTTGAATTATTTCTTATCTTCCTCAAAGAGAAAGTTAATCGAGTTACAGCAGAACATTCTATAATACCAGTAGGACGCACACTACCAGATGGAATAATTAAGGCCTAACAAAGAGGAAATAAGTTTTACAGTTGGAGAACTCCAGCGCAGGCAGGCCTGTCCTTTCAGTTTGCAAAACACAGCTACGGCAGCGTCAGACAGAGCGCCCTGCGGAGGGAGGCACTGCGCAGGGCTTGCTAGCCCACAGGCTGAAACATTAGAAACGTGCTTGGATGTCCATTATACTATTCAAGGAGCCTTTCGGATGCACTGCTGGAGCTGCAAGCTGGGAAGAACGCAGTTTGTTAAATATAGAAAGTCCGGCTTCAAAGAGAAGAAGACTCGTTTACCTTATTTTTTAAAAGTTATTTGTAAAATAGGGATCAGCGGACAGAAAGAAAAGAGGAAGCAAGCAGGACTTATCAAACACCTAGGAAGGATTTTATCGTGTATATATTTATATTAAGAGCCAGGTTTAATACGTTTGCAGACCGTGAATTTCACACCCACCGTGGCAGAGTTGGGGGCCGGGGGGGTTTCTGTCAGCAGGGCGCACCCACAGCCCCCCCCCCCGCCCTGCTCGGCCTCCTGGGGAGTGGGGGGGAAGCCCGAGGAGCCCCCAGGAACCCCAGAACCCCCCCAGGAGCCGCCCCACGCCGGGCTGCCCGCCCCAGGGCCTCCCCTGAGGGGACAAAGGCGGCGCCCGCACCCCCCCAAACCCTCCCCCAGCCCCCTCAGAAGGGCCTGGGGCCGGCCCCCGCCCGCCGCTCGGTACCGGGGGGGGGCGCAGGGAGCGGCTGCGGGCCGGGGCCGGGCGGGCACCCCTCAGAGACCCCCCTCAGCCCTCAGAGACCCCCCTCAGCCCTCAGAGACCCCCCCTCAGCCCTCAGAGAGGCCCCCATAACCCCCAAAGACCCCCCCCAGCCCTCAGAGACCCCCCTCAACCCTCAAAGACCCCCCCCCAGCCCTCAGAAACTCCCCTCACAGCCCTCAGAGACCCCCCCCCAGCCCCCCAAGACCCCCCTCAGCCCCTTCCCGCCGCCCCCCCCCTCACAAGGCCCCGCCGCCTCAGCGGGCGCCCCCCCCCCCCTCACCGCCACCGCCCCTCACGGTCGGGCCCCCCCCCCGGCCTCCCACCCCTCAGAGGGGGCTCCGTGAGCCCCCCACCCTCCACCCTTACCCTCAGGGGGGGGGCTGCGGCCGGCTCGGAGCCGCCTGGCGAGGGTCGCTGTCCCCTGCGGGCCCGGCCGGGGAGGAGGAGGAGGAGGAGGAGGGAGCGGAGCCGCCGCTGGCCTCACGCCGAGCGCCCTCCCCTGCTGGCGCCCGCCCTGGGCGGGCCCTCAGCCGCTCAGCCAATCGCGTGGCGCCGCCGCCCGCCGCCGGCCAATCGGAGCGAGCGCGGGCGGCGGGGGGGCGGGACGAAAAAAAGGCGGGCGGGGCTGAGGCGGTGCCGCAGTGACAGGGCAGGGGGGGGGAGGGGGCGGCGCGGAGGGGCCATGGCGGGGCGGGGCGGGGGCTGAGGGGAGGGGGTATAGGGAAGGGGCTATAGGAAAAGAGAAGGGGTTATAGGAAAAGAGAAGGGGCTAAGGGGAAGGAGAAGGGGCTATAGGGAAGGAGAAGCGCAGCAGAGATGGGTTTTGGGGAGCTGGGGATGATTGGGAGAGCCTGAGGGGAAGGGATGTGGGGCAGAAGGCAAGGGGGCAGGGGCTGAGGGGACATGGCTGAGGGGAAATGGGACATGGCTGAGGGACAGGGCAGAGAGGATGGGGATGAGGGGACAGGGGGATGAGGGGACATGGCTGAAGGATGTGGCTGAGGGACATGGCTAAGGGGACAGTGGGATTAGGGGACACGGCTGAGGGACAGGGCTGAGAGGATGGAGCTGGGGGGACAGGGGGCTGAGGGGATGTGGTTGAGGGACACGGCTGAGGGGACATGGGACAAGGCTGAGGGGACAGGGGGGTTAGGGGACGTGGATGAGGGATGTGGATGAAGGACATGGCTGCGGGGACAGGGGGCTGAGGGGTCGAGGGCTGGGGGACATGGCTGAGGGGACATGGATGAGAGGATGGGGCTGAGGGGACAGGGGGATTAGGGGAAATGGCTGAGGGGCTGAGAGGATGGGGCTGAGGGGACATGGCTGAGGGGACAGGGAGCTGAGGAGATGTGGATGAGGGACATGGATGAAGGACATGGCTGAGGGGACAGGGGGATGAGGGGACATGGCTGAAGGACACACATCTGAGAGGACATGGCTGAGGGATGTGGCTGAGGGGACATGGATGAAGGACATGGCCGAGGGACATGGCTGGGGGGACAGGGAGCTGAGGGGACATGGTTGAGGGACACACATCTGAGGGGACATGGCTGGGGGGACAGGGGGCTGAGGGGACACATCTGAGGGGACATGGCTGAGGCAAAGCCAGAGGCTGGAGGGTGATGGCCGAGGAGAAGCCGTGAAGGGCGATGGCAGCTGAGGGGAAGCCGTGAGGGGAGGTGAGCAGGGACGAGCAACCCCTATGTGCAGTGCTGAAACACAGTGACAAGGGACACCTCATGCTTCGTGGTGTCAGGGCTTTCTCCTCACACCTTTGGGGACCAAGGAGGTTGCCGACAGACAGAGAAGTCTGAGGGTGGATGAAGGCTGAACAAAGATGAAGGAGATCTCATGGAAGTGGGAAGGAGCCACATTTGGCCGGGGAGAGGATGTCCTGGGAGCACAAATGTGTATGATGGACACGGAGACTGAGGTGGGGAGGCAGCTGGAAGGAGGTTCCTGCTCCAAAACACAACTGTCCAGGGCAGGTGGGGCATTCACCCACCCACCCAAGTGTCTGAATGACACACATCACTGCTGCTTTTGCTTAGATTCTGCCGATGGCCCTTCTGGTCCTGAAATGTGTCTGTCTTTGCCTGCAGGACAGGAGAAAAGACGGGAGAACAAGTTGTAGTGATGAAACGTACAGATAGCAGGATGGAAAGTGATGAAAGACCAGGCTTTTTACAGCAGGCGTAGCTGTAGCGCACACGGCTGAAACTTCATAGGAAGCAGATAAGTGAAAGGTGAGACCATTAAATCTTGGTACGGTGACAACAGCCATGCAGGAGGAATGCTCAGGCTCACGCTTCATGCCTTAAACCACTGCAAACTATGATGCGAGTTCATCCTGGAGGGAGGGGAGGTTGTCCCTGTCTGTTGGCAGCAAAATTTGTGCATGTGCCCCGGGGGTGTGTGTGTCACTCATCTGACCGGGGGGAGCTACTAAATCTCATGGGAGTATGCGACACACTGGCCTGCTAGATAGGAAAATCAAAGTCTGGTGACTAAATTAAACCCAAAATAGGTGTGTCGCTTAGGTCGGGTCACTTGCGGGAGGGAACACCCTCTGCATCAGGCTGTGGGAAGGGGCACACCCCATCCGTGTGCAGGTAAGGTTGCAACTTCTGCCCGCCCCCCCTCCTGCCAAATTTGAGAACTGGGTGCTTCCCAGGGCCCTGCTTGCAAGGGCAAGATAGGGGGAAATCCCATGTCCTGATGAAAGGCATATATATAACAACTGCTTGCACCATGTGCTATTTTTACGCTCTGTGATAAAATAGCTTCTTAATAGCTTGCTTTGGGAGGACCAGGTGACGGTTTGAATTTCAGGGCTGTCCCAGCCTATCCAGGACTTCAGATCAACATAGGCTTAAAGGTCCCTCTCTCCTCCTTGGTAAATCCACCTCGGTTCTCTCCAGCCTTTCTTCTAGGTGCTGACAGAGGTAGGCTAGACCCTCATTCTGCTGCAGACCAATAATTCCCGTGCCCCTGGAGCAGACTCTGTGTCACATCAATGCCATGCTAGGGAGTACACCTGACCACTGGGCTGACTGCTTTGGGCCCTAAAAAGAACTTCTGGTTGCTCACCAAGCCCTGGATTTATTCCCCAAAAAGAAAATGTCAGAATTCAAAGCCTAGACTTCAATGCTCGCTGGTCACATGAGAGACAGACCATCGGTGTTTTAAGGAGACAGAAGTTCCCAGACTTTACTGGGTCAAGTGACAGCTTTGATAACACCCTATTCCCAGCCAAGCACACCTAACCATCATAAATCAGGGCAGGTGGCAGCCCTCTGCTTTTGTTAATGATAGGTGTGTCCGTTCCAAACTATATGGTGCAGCAGGCCACTGCGCACCCTAATCCAAACATCCCTATTTCACTGCTCATGGAATGTGGGAAATGTCCGTTTGTAAACTGGGCTATCATCAGCCCCAAAGCACTGCTTTTTCTCCTCCTAAGGAGACAAATTAAATCTGTTTCTATGGCATGTAGCACCACTGTCCAGACAGCTCTCTGCCATCACTACTCTTTCATATGCATCACTAGCTGAGATCAGATTCTTCTGCTTGCCTCATCCCCATCTACAGCTTCTTTGTTCTGCATGACATGCTCCTTGGACACCTTAAGCTGCTTTGGTTTTTTTGTCCTATAGCTTCCCCTTACGCTGAGAATTGGGCTTCCTGATTTCCTTAGATCCTGTCTTGCTTCAGCTGAAGCCGGTCATACTTTTATGGTTGGCTTTGGAAGCAGGATGGAAGAGTGTTTGACAGCTCAGCTTGCATCTGAAGAGCAGAATAACTTGTTCCTGACCAGAAGGAAGAGCGATAATATAATACAAGCTACATCTCTCCTCTGCACAGATAAATCCCTGTAACTCTTCAGAAACCATCAATGTAAAGGCAGGATGAAATCCCAGTGGGCTTGTTTCAGGGTGAAAAATTGACTGATGTGTTCTCGTAGTTGGTACTGCAGTTACAAGCCTAGCCTGCCCAGAAAACTGATGGCTATTTTATTAACCTACCCAAGTTCAGTGCAAATCTGTGGGGCACTATTTAACAAGAATCCTCCCTGTTTTTGCTTAAAATCTAAAGTCTGTTTTGTTCTTTCTGGGAGCAACTTAAGGACAGACTTGATTTGTTGCTTTTCCATGTGCCTCCCCTATGCAAAACTTCAGAGCATTTCATTTATCTTTGTTTATCCCTCAAAAGAATATAACCTACTTCGCCACTTGCTTTTCCAGCTGCCTCTCCAGACTGAAGAGTCCTTTCTCCGCTGCATGTGGCCTGAAAGAGAGGGCAGCAAGAACCACTTTCCTCTTGGCAGGCTGGCCAACATCTACAAGGTGCTGCAAGTGCATCTGTCCTTGCAGGAGGGAGGGAGATGATTTTATTTTTGTGAGGGAGGCAGGGAGAAAAGCTTAGTAGGCAATGGCTCAGCCCTTTCATCAAGCCAGACAGTAAAAGTGGATGGGGGAAAGGGAAGGGGACCAGCTCATCGCCCCAAAGAGTCAGTCCTGCCCAGCAGGGCAGGTGGAGCAGGCCAGAAGCTGGGCTGTTCTACGTGTAAGCCTGACTCGTATCTCCTGAGTCACTGGGGAGCACTGAGAGCTGGAAAGCGAGAGCTCATTTCTAGCAAATGCGCATTCATCTCCACTTTGATGGGAGCCAGGGCAAATTAAGGATGCCTGGTAATGTGGCAGGGTTTGGCTCTGCTGAGTTCGGGGTACTGACAGCAAAAGTCTTGGAGAGAGAGAGCTGCACAGCTTTCTTGCCCATTTTTCAAGGGTTTGTCATTCACTCCTCAAAGCAAATGACAAGATAGCCAAAGGTGAATGCCTGACAGGAGCAGTGCTTGCGAGGCAGGCTGCTGGGGCTTGTCCTGGCTCCGCAGGGATGCTGCTCTCAGAGCTGCTTGCTGCTGAGGGGTTCGCTGTCATTCCTCTCATCTCTCACTCATCTCAAACAGGCAGCAGAGCCTTCGGAGGGGTCATTTCCAAAAATGAACACTAGGCAGAGTGGCAGTTACAAAGTAGTGAACCTGAACCTATATAAAATAATAATTTTAAAAATAAAAAATAAAAAGTTGGACTTGAGCTATAAAGTGCTTGAGTGGAGCAGTCAATTAGTGCAACACCTAGAGCAGCACCAACAGTCTCTCATTTCCAGGAAAAGGAGGTGTTTGTGTGCTTTTCAAAGTGAATGCCTGAAAGCACCTTGGAGCATTTGAATCCTCTTACAAAACCAGCCTGTAACTTTCACTCCCATGCCGCAGTCTTCGTTTCACATCCACTTCCCTATCGTGAATCAGGACGCAATGAGAAGCTAAGTACTCAGAGCTAGGCAGGACGCTGCTCCGGCGACAACAAAAGCATTTGTGGGTCACCGGCAGATAGTCGCCGGCCAGACAGGGCTGTTTGCTCAGCGAGGCTGACTCCAGCATAATGGAAGGCATGGAATTTTGGCCGGGGATCCCTGCCGCCCCAGCGACCTGCCGAGTCTCTCCGACCGGTCATGAGATTTGCCTTGCAGCTGGCACACCCCGTGGTCTCCTGATCTGGGCTCTATCTGTCACCGTCCCCAGTGTGTGGGGTCACTGAGGAGGAGGAGGAGGAGGAGGAGGAGGAGAAGGAGGAGGAGGAGGAGGATGGCTGCAGCACGTTGCTGGGTAAGAACCACTGCTGGGGCTCTGCAGTCCTGGGAGCACCAGCAGAAAGTGCAGCCTGCATCCCAGCCCTGCTGGGGGTGTCCCAGGGCACGAGGTGCTCCCTGCTCCCCCCACGCAGTGCCTGGTTTTCCACGCTGGACGAGGAGAACCTGCAGCCATCAGGGGATGTGGGCTTGTTGTGATGCAGGAGCTGAGACTTCCTGAGTTCTTTAAGCAGAGCTTTACCCTGCAAAGCACCGGGCAGCCTGGCCTTCTGGGGACTTAGTCCTGTTCCTCTGCACCGGAGGGGGCTTTTAGCATCGGGCTGCTCCCCTCTCTAGCCTGGGCCCCTGTAACCCGTGCCCACTTCTCCTGAAGCAGAAAAATTGAGTTTGTGCTGCAATGACGGAACGGAAATGTCCTCAGGAGGCCGTGTGTAGCCTTGAGTTACCTTTTCTAAATAGGTTAACAGCTGGAGGGCCCCTGGTTGTTTAAAGGGAAAAGACATACAGAACATGCCCTATATGATATGCTCTGTCCTAAGTAGTTCTGCCATTCTGTTGATTTATGTCTGGAGATTAAAGGATTTGCCTTTCAATAAAATTATTCTCCCCAAACTCCTAAGTGGGGGAGCGAGGGGATTTTAAGCACGTTCTCCACGGTGTGCAGCTCTCCCTGGTGAAGCCACAGGCGTTTTCTTCCTTGCCGTGCCGCTCACGAATTCCTCCTGGTGACTTTGATTGTGCTTTGCCATTCCTCTCCTGCTTCTGGAGCACAGGACACGGGGGACAAGGCAGGGTGAGAGGTCTCTGGGCCCCAAGGAGCTTCCAGCCCAAACCAGATGGAGCATGTAACCAGGACTGACAAAAGCTGTGTGATGAGACAGAAGAAGACTGTTCTGGGGAAAAAAAAAGAAGTTTGCTAAGAGCCCAGCTTCGTGGGCCCTGCAGGTCTGCACGAAGCTTTCCGCAAGTCAGATCCCTCACCAGCCAGGAGCATCTCAAGGCCAGGACCTTGTTTGTTGTAATTTTACCATTCTCTTCTTCCCTCATGAGCTCAGGTGCAAGATAAGGCACAGAAAGCATCAGCAGGGAAGTTGTGAGCACTCATCTAGAGGCCGAGAGGAGCAGAGCTGGGGGTGGCGAGACGAAGGACACGGCTATCCGGGGGCCTGCCGTGCCTCTTTTACCAGAGACGTGCTGTCGTTGCTTGGACAAAGTGAATGAATTGTGAAAGGCAACCAAAATTCCCCTTTTTTCACATCACCTCGTCACTGATGGTGCCAGGTGTGCAGAAACAGGAGCAGTCAGTTTGCCAGCCCATGGTAGGGGTGAGCTCCTCGCACCAAACCTCACCCCGCGCTCTCATTGCTGGCCTCCGAAAGCCCTGGGACACGGGATTTAATAACTTCCCCACACCGCTCATTATGACTGGCCCAGACTTCTTGGGACCCAACGGTCCACTCCCTTTCTGAGCTGTAATGAGCCAGTGGCAGCGCTTTCTTGTGGCAACAGGTTCCCCGGTGTAATGGCACATGTGCAAATTAATGGGTTGGAATGCGCTGTTTTCTAATTCCTTTGTTTTTGTGCTACAACAACAACAAAAAAAAGAACTGGAAAGCTGCTCCCGCTGCAGCTTCTGCAGGCTATTCAGTATTTTCTCTGCTTCCATCACATAATTTCTGACTTTCCTTTTATCTGAGGTAAGCGCAGCCGATCCCTCAAATCTCTCATCGGGTGCTCTTCTCTTTTCCGCGGCTGCCTGCCCTACTTTTGCTGAACTCTCTTGACTTCTTCAACTTCCTTGCTATCGTGGGAAGTGACAGCACCACGCGTGTTGTTTTTGGCAAGGCTTTGCCCTTCGCCTACATCTCCTACATCACTCACCTGTGTTGCAGCACTTCCATTATACTTCATATTTCTTTTAAATCTCTAATGTTTTGTTTTTCCTTTTGTTATTTTTTTTTTCAGAGTAAACAGAAGTCGGGCCAGCGACAGTAATGCCCAGGTTCCCTTTCTGAAACAACACAGCCACTTTAGAAACCTGACTCCCACAAAATTCCCCTTGGTTCGTGGAAATGGCTGAGAGCACTTTGGCTGCCCGAAGAATTCCCAGGGCATTTTCTCTCGTTTATTTTCCATTTGGGCAGCTGGCCCATTTGCACGAAGCCTATGAAGGACATGTGGGATGGACAGACCGTGTGCATGATGCTCATCCGATGCTGTGCAGCCACTGCTGGTCCCATTTCGCACACTCATCAGTCCAGACATGCAAATAGAGGGCGTGTAGCTTGCATTTAGATGCTTTGGTTTTAAATATGAGCCACGCATGAAAATTGCATGAAAAACATCTTTTCAGGCTAGAAGCAAGCCCTCTGTGTGGATTAAAGGCAGTGTCCCATTAGTGCCCAGCTCAGCAGCAGCAGAGCAGTGGGCTGCTGAAGATGGACCTTCCGAAACATTCAAATGCCTTGCCTCACTGGGACGAGTTTTTCAGGCTTGCAACTGGAGAGGTTTTTCTCAATCTGCTCACGAACCCTGGCTGCCAAAGCAGGGTGGAATACATGAGCCAGAGAAATTCAGCGAAGCCCCGAGGCCGGGGTTGGAGAGGTGATCTCTGAGGAATTATCTCACATCCAAAATTGTGGTAGGGAAAAAAAAAAACAAAACAAGGCTGGGGTGAGGGCGTAACTGCTAGAAACTAGCCCAAAGGAGAAAAGTGAAAGCACGTCAGTGTGCTGCGTGACACGGCCGCAGCAGAGAGCTGCATGCATTATATATAAAACAGAGGGAGGATGACACTCGAATTAAAAGTTGCTTGAGAATGCTGAAGGATGAAACCCAATCTGTCCTATAAAAATTTAATTACGTTGCTGTTAAACCCAAGGTTTCTGGAAGAGACAAAGTAAACACAGTTTCTAGAAGACTCTTTCTTCTCTCGGGACTTCAGAACAGACCTGGAGACCTGATTGTGAAATTTCATCATCGTCAGTAGGAAAAAAACAAAATCCAGACAATATCCAAAGCCCATGCTCAGAGGCCACAAGTGGCTATATATTTTTTTCCACATATTTTTCTGCTCTCACTGTAAAAAGAAATGAGAGCTGGGGGAAATGACAGCAGCTCTCATTACTATGGGTGAGAGTTCCCATTTAAATTCTTATTCATCTTCCAAAAATGCAAGACTTTAAGCAAGGGAGGGGGATGCACTCCAGTTGCTTGGAACAGAAATCCAAATCGTTCGTACAAAGCATGGAAAATAACGATAATCTGATGAAAAAAAAAAAAAATCTTGGCAAGCCGTGAAATTCAGAAAGGGAAGGAGGGGAGAGGGAGGACAGAAGCTTGTAGAAAGCCTGGCCCTGGCAGAAGTTAAATTCAGCAAGAAGGCTGGGAGCCCCCGAGCGTTTCGGGGTCATGGGGTAAACCGCGTCCTGCGGGGACTAGGCGGGTGATCAGGGCTCAGCAAAGGCGAGTTGATGGGGGCTGAGTTAAGGAGTCTTTTGGTGTTTAATTTTTGCAGTCAAGAGGAATTATCACGGAAAACAGCATGGCAGCTGAGAGGCAGAAAATTAAGGAACGTTTAGGCACACCTCTGTGAGTTGAACGTAATGGGAAATACAGGGAGTGTTCAGACAAGGATCCAGGCAGCCAGATAGCCCACGTTTTTGATAAGTTAAATGAATTTTTATTGGCAGCACTTAGCTGCGAAGTAGAATCTCTATCAAAGACTGCCTTGAAAGGGAACAAACCAAATTCTGAAGGAACCAAAGCCCCCCTCATCTAACCTGCCCCCGAGTTACTTTATTTGCAGGTTTGCAGCAGCTGGGAAAATTGCGGGCATGAAATGCCACAAAATAAGCGCTAAAGAAACAGGGGATAAAAAACGAGTGATAAAGACTTCTTTAAATAAAAGTCCTCAGTGCCAGCGTTAGTCAATAAACAGAGAATCTTACAGATAGAGAGAGCTCGGGAAAAAACGAATCCCAGAGAATGAGCTAAAAAGCTTAGAAGAGAGTCAAGACGGATCAGCAAGTTGTGTTGCAATTAACTAATTTAAGAGCATAGTTGAATATCTTGGCGACAGATGCCAGCAAGCAAACCTTTAGGAACACAGGGACGCCATGTGAAAATGAAGCTGTTGGCTTGAAAGTTTGGAATGACTCAAGAATTCTTTCCAAAATTAAAAACAACCCCAAAAGGTCGTTTCACAACGTAATGAAATATGTGCTACTGTTGCTGCCTAACATAAAACCCTGGAGGCCTCAAACAGCCCCAGTTCTGAAGTTATTCGAGTAGATCTGTGAGCAGCAGGCTGAAGGTGGGATGGACTAAACCTGAAATTGGAGATAAGTTGAAGGCAAGAAGGACTTGAGAAGCTGTGGGGCCAGGCAGCACCCAGGTGAAAGGCAGGAGGCACTGAAGGCGTTGTTAGCACCCCTAAGGGATGCCCTCAGGGACATCCCTTTCAAGGAGGAATGTCCACAGCCCATGAAAGACACTCCTGGTGTTGTTCTCCTGGTGGGCAGAGCCGTTGTGGGGTGCAGTGCTTAGAGTACTTGTTATTACATCGCTTTTTAAAGATTTTAGCAAAAGCAGCAGGGGGTAAACAGCTTGTGGCTTATGTAACCCCCAAACGAAACTGGATGCAGCGAGGACAATGTTCAGCTCCCGCTACCACTTGGAAATCGTCGTGGTGCTTTGCTTTAGCCAGCAGAAACCCTTTTATTTTTAGCTGGATGAATCTCTCATTGTAGAGAGGGTTTGGGAAAGGGAGCGCTCTGTTTGAAGTCGTGTCCCATGTGGGCATCCCTCCCATGTTCTCTTAACGCTCAGCTTCTCTCAGCCTCAGCCCCAAAGCAGTTGGAAAGTCAACGGAGCAATTCTCCGTCTGAGAACAGCCTCCGATGCCTATTGTCTCCTTCACTTGGCCGTGGAGCCCTTGGAAGAGAGCACGAGGAATAATCAGTTTGTCATAACCGCCGGGAACGCGCTGCACATGCTGACAGAACGGTGCTGGTTGTAACCAGCCCAAACACTGCCCTAAAATTAGTACCCAAATAAATCCGTTGCTTTGGGAAAGCATCTGCTTCCAAATTAAACGAATCCAGACCTGAAGGCGAGCGATATTTTTTGCTGAACTTGAGCTGTCACCCGAGCAGAGCGTGATTAAGTATTAGTCTGCAACAAATTCCTCAGGAAACCTGAGCAGTAAAATGTCAAGCCACTGAGAAGAGCCAAACGACTTAAAAGTCAGATTGCTGTCTCAGCAAATGGAAGCAGATTTGGAGCACTGGGAGGAATATGCAATTTCTTGGTTGGGAAGATGAGCCACAGTCATAATGAATATTTTGCCAAGCCTATATCTGGTTGCAAAATCTTCCCACAGTCATCCCAAATAAGCATTGGTGAGAATGCAATGTTATTAGAAAGGGGACGGCATAAGAACAGCCTGAGAAGTAATGAATGAATGAATGTAGGCTGGTAACAGAGGCTCGTTAAACAGGGGGCACCAGCTCGGAGGTTGCAAAATGAGGTCCCGTAGCGTGCAAAATCGGGTAAGGGGAAGGCGGGGGGAACACAGAGCCCTGCAGCCTTGGGGGACAGAGGGGCTGCAGTGCTCCTGATTTCCCCTTAATGGGGAAAAAGCTGCGACCAGAATTATTGCCGGGACTGTAAAACATCGCTGTGTTGATTAAAGAAAATCATCGCTTCCTCCAAGAACGACTCTCTGTTTCGGCAGAGGTTTCTCATCTTTTCTTTGTCTGGGGTGGCAGCAGCTTGGCATCGCTCCTCCCCAACCCGTTTTAAACCTAAATCATGGAACAGGAGATTCAAGCACTGGGCAAGCAAAGGAATACTGAAAGCTGGCCAGCTGGTCACCCAAGAAAATTTTATGACATATTTGGAAATTGAGACAAATGCTGCTAATCTGGTGAAGCCTTTGGGGCTGTGCTCGGGCAGTGACCACCACCGGTCCTGTGCGGTGCCAGGAGGAAGGGCTGGGGCTGGGGGCACCTGGGGGACCCCGGCTGCTGCCTGGGGAGGACACTTGGGAGCAGAATATATCATTTTTTTCTGTGTACCGAGTTGCCCATGCGCTGTGTTCGTCTGGGGAAGGAGCAGCAGCAGCTCCTTTCGGCAGCGCGACGGAAGAGCGTCGATCTCAGTGCCGTTTCCAAGGTTCCTCGTAGGGTTAGATTGAAAGATAGGTTGGAACAAATCTTGGAGAGACGGCGATGAAAGCGAAGCTTCGTGTTTGTATGGTAAACATGCCCAGTTATTAAAGAGCGTTAGGATGTGATTTGTAACCAAATATTACAAATACGGCTCTTTATTTCCGAGCGATCCCGCGGTAATCCCAAGGGGCTTCCCAGCCAGAGTGCTCAGGCACAAAGAACGGAGAGATAATCTCTGCTCTAGCAGTTGACTACAGACAGCCTCTTGTTCAGAGAGGAAAATCGGGCCAAAACTGGAGGAGCTGCTCAAAAAAAAAAAAAGGAAGTCTATTGTTAGGGAAGGCTGGCGTGTCGACGCCCTGCTGCACGGAACCGAAAAGTGCACGAGTGGGGTGCGTGGCTGAATCGCTGCCATTTATTTATCGCTGAAAATACATCTCGCCGAAAACAATCAGCATATTTTTGAACGCTAATGTTTGCTTAGAAATATCTGCCTTTCTGCCAGGGCAGCTGAGGGGAGCTTAATGAAATCGCAGAAATTGCGTCCTGATGCCGTGCGGAGGCAGCCTGCAGAAGGGAGCAGCGCTTACGTCTGTTTCTGATAGTTACAGGCCATTAATTTTAAAGCAATTCAAATTGCTAAACAAGGAGATGGCATAAAAGTGCTATTTTATACACACACGTACGTATAACGATGTGCAGGAGAGGGTCACCACCAGACACGAGGTGTCTGTGTAAATGCACAGCTGCACAGTGCCCGCAGCAGGTCCTGCTCCTCGGTGGCACGGTGATGGATGATTTGGGGCAGAATGCAGCAGACACAGCACTAACGGGTGGCAGGAGGCATTTCGGGTGCTGCCAGAGCCCAAATCGTGGTGCAGGCTTTTACCCCAGTGTCTCTTGTCCCCTCCTTGAGCATCCCACACCTGCTGAAAGCCAGGCTCGGGGTTTGCCCAGTCCAGCACATAAATAACACGCAGGAGGATGAGTGCTGATGTTTGGATGTTGCAGTTCTCCTCGCTGGGAGTTTGGTGAGAGAAGAACGGACCCCCAGGCATCGGTGGCAGCCGGGTGACAACACGGTGAGGCTCCGTGTCCCCCAGGCTCCTGCCGGCGCTGCATGCCAAGCCATGAAGGGCTGAAGCATTTTGTTCTTTTGAGCTGGGGCAGCTTCTCCCCCCCGGGGCTGATCCAAATGTCTTGCGGTGGATGCTGCGAGCAACCTGACACCGTGACTCAGCTGAACGCAGGCGCTGGGCCCTGCGCTCGCTGCGGCGGAGACGGAGACGGCCACGGCCCGATTGCACGGGGGCCCCGCAGGAAACTATGGCAAAGACCAGCTCTGTTTGGAAATCGCGGAGTTATTTATCAGGGGGTGGGTGCCCGCCTGCGTTCATCAACAGCAACATCAGTCTAGAGACAGAAACATCTATTTCAGCTGCCGAGGGGTGAGGGAGGAGAGGTCGCCTGGCTTTTTGGGCAGGGATCTGCTCATCTCAGGATGATCATCAGGAGGAAAAGCAAGCATCCGACCCCCAGCATTGCCACCAGAGCACAGCGCAGCAAAGAAGCTCCTGCTCTTGCCAAAAGCAAAGTGTGAGCGCATCGCTGCAGAGCTGGGGGAGGAAGCCTCTCCAACAGCCCCTCCTAACCCAACATTTTTTGGTTTTCCCAGTCTCTCCTCTTGAAGTCCCGGTGACACGGAGGCGTGAAGGCACGGAGCAGGCAGCTTTTTGAGCCCTCCAGGCTCAAACCCAGGCTCGCTGCCCTCTGCACAAACACGCTTCTGACGAAGGGTCCCGGATGCCCATCTGGGGAAGAAAAGAGCACCTGGCTCCGCATCCAGCTCCTGCTTCAGTGATGTGAGGCAGCCAGGCTGCTGCAAAGTCACAGAATCGTTTAGGGTGGAAGAGACCTCTAAGATCACCGAGTACAACCCTAAATTGTTGAGCCCCTGCTGTGTTCAGCCATGCCCAAAATCTCTGCGGGGCCCCAGCACCTCGCTGCCCCTTCCCACATCCCCCCCACGGGCACTGCCAGCCTCCGTGCACGGGACCAGCCCCCAGGTGCCAGCAGCTGCCCGGTGCTCAGCCGCAGCGCGAGGCCCGTCCACGACTCGCCGGCTCCACCGCAGCCTCCGCACCCCACAGCCGCCCGCTGCTTTGAAGCCCGTCCATGACGTGGGGACAACAATCGTGGCTTTGTCCCCACTGCAAACGTCCCTGCTCCTGCCACCCCCTCCGTGAGCTGCTGCTGCAGCTCCTGCACCCGGAGCCCAGATTCGAGGCTTCAGACCCAGGGTGAGGCTGCTCGGTGGCACAAAAGGGGTTGAAATGCCAGACGTGACCTTGTCTGCTGTGAGTTTGGGATCCCACTAAAAGATTCCCATCATCAGCAGTGCTGGAGAGCTCAGGGATCCTGCCGGAGAGGGCGACTTCCCAGGGATGGCTTCCCCGTTTCAGCAGAGCCCGGACCAGTTGTGGAGGAAGAGCGTCCTGGAGTCCCGGCATCGATGCCAAATGGGTCCTGCGGTGCTGCTCCCAGGTCCAGCCGCTGTTCCTGGCCGGGTTTCCCAGGGAATTTGGGCTGTGTGGTGCAGGGCAGGGGCTGTGCCTCGTGCCGTGACCGTCAGCCTTCGCTCCCAACTTCAAGCACATCGGGTGGAGGGGAGAGGAGCAGCCCAGCGGGACTTGGGGCACCGCTCGTCCTGCTGCAGGATGGGAACAGCCAGGCCCCTGCTCGGCCCCACCGCATGCAAAGCGCGGACTCTGCACCCAGGACAGCCCCAAAGCCACTTTGTGGTGCCCCCTGCGTGGGCAGAGCCCACATCTGGGGCCGTGAGGATGCCTGGAGAGTTCCCATGGGCGCAGGGCTCACTGCGTGCCGCACTGGGGGGCTTGGTGGTGGCCTGAACCCCTCGGCACACCGCTGGCCCCGGCTCATGGGATGGCCCCGCTCAGCAGGGCTGAGTGCCGCGGAGCCGGGCTTGCACCTTCCCCTGGCACCGGGCAGCTGCCTGAAGAGGTTTGAGCAGCACCGCGTGGTGTTTGCGCCTGCTAATCTCACCGCCGTGAAGTAGCTGCTGTCTCCATCCCCACCCTGCTTCATTCCTTCGGCGGGGACACCCGGGATGTGGCCGTGGGGGCCAAGGATGTGCCCTCCTTGGGGACCCTGTCACCTGCCCAGCCCTGTGGCAGCAGGGCCGTGGCGTGGGGATGTGACGGAGCCCTCGGTTTTGGGGGATTTCCCGCACAGAGTGAAACAGAAAGAAGAACTTGGCCGCGTTCCTCTTGGCCTCCGTCCACTTTCCTCTTTTGATGTCAGTCTCCCTTTTTACGGCTCCTTGCTCAAGCCCTAAGCCCCAGCAAACATCGCTGGAGAGTTCATCCAACAGAAACAAAGCGGGGCTGCGCCTTCCGCCGCTGCGAAGCAGCAAACCTGCCCCGGAGCCAGCGCGCCCTGTCTGCGGCCGCGGAGGCTGTGACCGCAAAAGCAGAAACAAACCCAAAGGAAGCCCCGAGTGGCCGAGCTGCGGTGGTCTCCGTGACATCCCTTCTCCTCCCTGCGCCCGTCCTGGGAAACATTTTGGGGGGAGGAAAACGGGGGCGGCGCAGACCCCTGCCTGCTGTCCTCACCCCGTGCCCTGGCAGGGACCGACAGCCCCGAAAGCCTCGGCCCTTCCCAGGAACATCCCCGGCAGCGGCTGCGATGCAGCCAGCCCGAATTTCCCCAGCCCAAATTTCCCCAGCCCGAATTTCCCCGTGCAGCAGGCGCTGCAGTGCAGGGAGGAGCCAGGAGGCAGCAGTCGGGGCCCCGGTGTCGCTCCCAGCCAACGCTCGCAGCTCCGCAGCTTGTTGGGCACGATTCTACCCCCGTGGATTTGCCCAGCCCGGCTGTGACACCGCAGGTCACGGAGCCTGGCAGTGCCAGGAGGACGAGTTCCCAGCCCAAACCTGGTGACCTCCAAAGAGAATCTGCCTCCTGGCAGTGCCAGGTGATGGCAGGACACCCCCTGGGGCTGTAGAACCAAAGCAGGGGCACGGTGCAGGGGGGTGACCCCATGCAGGAGGGGGCTCGCAGGGCACTGGGTCATGGCACAGCCACTGCCTGGCTCCAGTACAAAGGAAACCCAAAGGGGAGCCCGGCCGAATCCAGCACCAAGATTCCCAGAACCGCCCAGCACCACAACCCACACATCTTAGTCACACGTGGCACTAAAGCCGTTGCCAAAAAGGGAAGTCAAGAGTTTTTTTCCCCAAAGCAACTTCTGCCCAGCAAAACCCCATGAATGCCCTTTAAAAAAAAAAAAAAAAAAAACAAAAAAAAAAAAAAACCTACGTTGAGGTACCTGTGAGATTTTCATCCTCTGCCCAACTCAGACCCAGGCAGAGGCAGCAGCTCTGCCAGGGTCTCCTGCCTCTCCCTGGAGTGGGGGGCACCGGTCTCAGGGAAGACAAATTATAAAAGGTGCAAAAGGCCTTGGGACGAGGGGTTTGGTGAGCACTAAGAGATGCCTCCGCTCCTCACAAAGCAGTGGCTGAAAAGTCACAGGCAGGCAGCCCTGCAGGGATACCTGGCCCCTTTCCAGAGTCCCTCCACCCCCTCTGAGGGAGCTGCTGGCACATCCACAGCACCGGGTCCTTCACAGCTTGCAGGAGCCAAAAACATTGTAAAATAAGCAACAAGACAAGTTTTCTTTTAAGCCAGAGAAGGTAAAAGCCAAATGGAAGAAAACACCGAGCTTTGTGGCATTCAGGAGCTCGTGGCAAAGGCCGATGGAGCCGTAAGCTGCTTTCAGCATCAGTTTTAAGTATGACAGATGGAGGCAATAAGGAAAAAAAAAAAAAACAAAAACCCTCCCTTACTCTGCTTTAGCCTCCAGTGGATTTGAAGTCACATTGCTGCATTCTAAGTGAAGCTTTTAGTGCTTTTTAGTGCTGACCCCGTTGTTGGCCACCTGCTTTGCAGCCCCGCACCTCCTGCTGAAGCCCCCAGGAGCATTCAGGAAGCAGCTCCGTGGGGAAAGCTGTGGGTGCAAAAACCATGCTGGGGCCTGGAAGCTCCTCAGGCACCCAGGAGAGCGGGGTGTATTTTGAAGTTACCCCAGGAGCAAGAAAGGCAAGACAGAAAGACCACGATCCTTTCCAATGCAGTTTCTTTTCCAACACACCAGGGAGCTGCGCGTTCCCCTGAGCACTCCTGCACCCCTTCCAGCAGGGAAAAGGCTTCAGACAGAGGCTGGAGTTCAAGTACTTTATTCTCTGTGCCTGCAGCAGTCCATTAGTACAGTCGCAGGCTGACAAGGTACAGGTCCTGGTCGGAAACATTCACGGCGCAGCTTCCCCCTCCCTGCACACCCCCAGGGCTCACCGCAGGACACGGGGATGGGGCTGGGGGGGCAGAGGCGAGGGGCTGGGAGCAGGCTCAGCAGGGCCAGAGGCGTTCCTGACGGCTCAAGGCGTGCGCTGCAGCTCCGTGCTCTGACACTGCCAGAGCAGAGCAGCAACACCCACAGCAGTTTGCCCCCTGAATATCAGGGAGCTCAGGACAATGCTTATTTGCATTTGCTCCAGCAGCTGTAATCTGAAAAGAGCATCACCAATCCAATGAATCTATTCCCCTCCACCCATTTTTTTTTTTTTTGAATAGGGCAAATTAAACTTCCACAGAGTGACTACATGCTTGTTTACCAAGCTGCACTCAAACAGCCCCTAAAGTCCTATCCCTGCACTGATCCTTCACCACTTCAAAGCAGTTTGGATTGGTCAGGGTGCTGCTGCCTGTGCGGCACCACCACAGGCGAGCCCCAGGGCAGAGCAGCCCCCCAGGCCTCAGCGGCTTCCTCTGAAGTTCCAAACCTCGTGAGACGTGGGACACACGCAAAGAGCAAGGGGGTAGTCAGAATTCCTGATGTGTCATCTCATCTCCCCCCCCCTCAAGGTAATAATTTTTGCTGAAACAAAGCTTGATTTCTTTTTTTAAATGAGAAAGTCAGAGTTCAAAGCCTACCCTCTCTGTTCTCAGGAGGATTAACAGCAGGTTTTAAAAATCAGATTTAAAAAGTCAAGTTAAAAGCCCACACAAGACACCTCTGCTTCCAGTCAGTTCTTTGACACAGATGTTAACAGCAGGCAAGACTGGCTCATGCAGAGCAAGCCAGGCTATGCAAAATGTGGATTTCTGCTCAAGCCACAGCAGTTTCCAGGACATGGGGCTGCTCCCAGCCTGCACGAGCTTCACTGAGCTGCCGCCAGGTTCTGTGGGTGTGGAACAAGAAGGGGCAGCAAAGCAGTTTTAGCACTTTAGGTTTTTGGTCCCTGCTATGCCACGGAACTGCAAGCCCTGCTTTAGGTGGGCAGTTCGCACGGCTCAGCCCTAGGGTACAAAACTACCCGAGGAATTCTTCTTTCTGCAATTAATTGTGTTTCCTGCCTCTCCTGGCAGAGGCTCGGCTACTGGAGAGCTGGCTGAAGAAAAACCCACGGCAGCAGGAGCAGCATCAGAGCAGCCTCACGGAGGCACGTGGACGGGCTGAGCCTGGTCCCTCCCGGCCAGGCTCTCTCCTGGACACATTTCACGACACAAATACATGGCCTGGGAGGGAGCAGCAGCAGCAAACGCCGCTGCTGAGAGCTTTGTGACAGCTTTGGCACCTGGTGTCCCCAGGATCACCCGAGGCAGTTCATTCCTGAAATCAGTTCCCAGAGATTCATTCTGCCCACTTGGAGACACCGATTTCTTTAGAACTAAAGCAGCAGCTAAATTCAAGTTAATACAAAACAAAGCGATTGAGATTAAGTAAATGAGGTGAACATAATATCTATATATAAAAAAAAAAAAGCAATTTCCCCACAGGTATTTCTTCAGGAGGCTTCCCTCAGCGTCACACGGGAGCTCAGCGACGTGGAAGCCCTGGCTGTGTTTCCATCGTGCTGCACCACCACGCGTCACGCTAACAACACAACCCAAGCTGCAGCTGAGAAAAAAAGAACAAAACCTCCACCCGCACCCCCACCACAGGCTGCCCTTCAGCAGGAACAAAGTTTGAGTACACCCCAGATGATTCAACTGCAGCCGTCTCCGCTTCACTTGACTGTATTTAAATAAAATAAGGCATTTAAAAAACTGACAGGCACTAAAACATCCTCCCCTCCTCGCACCACATGCCAGGCCAACGTGCACCGCAGAGGACAGCCTCCTGGGGCAGGCTGTTGGACAGTTTGTGGATGTCAGAGCGTGAGAAGCTGTTTCCATGAGGCAGCATAAGAATATTGAGCACAGGCGGCCTCCAGCCAGTACCTGGGTTGCTCGGTTGAAGCCTGCGGCCGCAGCGTTGCCATTAGGACAGATGAGGAGAGGGCTGGCACCCGGTAACACCAGCAAGGAGCAGGCTTCCCTCCCGCTACAGCTCCCCCCGACCCCGCAGCGCGCAGTCTTTGCTCATCCCATCAGCCCTCAGAGCTTCTTCAAGCGGCTGTACAGTTCCCTTTTGCTCCTCTCACCAGCCCAGGTTCGGCTTTTGGTGCGAAATCTTTTCAAGTCTTCTTTAAAGTCCTCGTGGTGCATGGGGCGGTAGCTCTGGGGCTCGCAGAAGCTCTGGGGAAAGAGAAGCTGGTTTCACCTCAGCGCTCTGAGACATCGCCAGGGCCTGGCAGCAGCCACTCAGACAACGGCCTTCAGAGCAAAAAAAAAAAAATGAACCCACTGGGCAGGAGAAGCAGCAGGAGCTGCATACCAGGCGTTCGTGAGCAAAGCCGAGTGACATTCAGATTACAGCTACTTCAGGAGTTGTAGCTATCAAACGAAGGACTTTCAGCCCTGTGCACAGAGCTCTCACCCCACTTTTCTGGCAGACATCAGTATGTAGTGCAAGCAAACTAAGGAAGCCTGTCCAGCGTTCACCTTGAAATAAAGATTTGAAAAATGCATCTCCAGGCCTGGCAGCTCCTGGCTCTCAGATCTGAGAGCAGTGAGCGCTGCCATCGGCTGTCCCGTGCTGCCACCTTGAGGCCCTTGGTCCTCCCATCTCAGGAGTGTGGCCAAGGGGCCAGAAACAACCCCTGGGGCATCCACGGCCACGCAGGAGAGCCAAAAAACGTGACTGTCGTGAGCAGCAGTAACCCCAAGTGGGCCCAAATGCTGCTAGACACAAACGTGGGGACCAGCACACAGCCCTGCCCTGCTGCTGACACCCCGGCTGCAGAAAGGCTGAAGGAATCCCTCCCACCTGTCTGGAAGTGCAGCAAGGCTTGGAACAGGAAGGTGATCTAAGAGATACTCCAAAGTGTGAGGCCCTGATAGGGACTAAAGCAAGAGTCAGACCAGAGCCTAGTTTGTGCCAGAACAAGGAGAAATAGCCAACAGCTGAAATGCCAAAGCACCAGAAAACAAACAATAGAAGAAACACCACCGTCACGGTGCTGGGAGGAGCTGCTGGGCATCCATTAGTCTCCTTTTCTGAGTTAGGAGTTGAAAAACTCAAGCTTTGCGCTTCCAATTTTGCTTTTTTAGTATAGCATAGGACTTGACATCTCCATTCGTCATACAGCAATTACTGTCAGGCCTCTCTCTTCTCTCCTAGTCCTTGCAGGCTAAAGCAGTCTTAAATTCCTTCTCTGAATGACATTTTAAACTCCTGGTTCTTATAAAAAGGCAGAAAACAGTTTTGTGTTTTACTCTAGAGACAAGCAGAAAAACATTTCAGCTACAGCAGCAAGACAGCTGTAAGGTATGGAATCAGCTTAGAAAAGTGAAGGGAACGTCACTGCCAAATGTTAACTGCTCCCAGTACAGGAGAGCACGGAACAAAGCAGAAAAAGCCACCCCAGGAAATTGGGGTATTTACTTATCCTTTCTCCTCCTTCGAGCATGAAAACAGAAGGGTTGAATTCAAGTGTTACTTACACGGCATCTTAGGAAGAAATCCTTGTAGCCTCCCTTCAGGACATAGAGCTCTGGGTAGTGGAGGTTGGGGTATTCAGTTCCCCAGCCTGTCCCGCTCCCTCACAAACCGGCACCTGCAGCAGGAACAGATCCCACATCACATCTTGCCTTCGACAAGTACCACGTGGAGCCACTGCTCCCCCACTGCTTCGCCCTCGCCTAGCACAGCTGTCAGTTTGTGCCTGGTGTTGTGGGGTAACTCACATCCGCGGGCCCCGCTCCGAAGAGAACTCGCAGTGGAACACTATGATCACCCGCTTGTTCTCCGACGGCAGGATTGGCTTCTTCAGCAAGAAGTCTTCCACGTCCTCTTCCATATGGAGGTTTACAGCACCCTGCAGAGGCAGGCACAGAATCAGAGCTTGGAGCAGATGATCTTGAAGATCTTTTCCAGCCATCCCCCTGCTACCAATGTCACCCTACTAAACTGTGTCCCTAAGCACCAGTCATGCCCAAGTAAAGGAGAACAGCAACAAACCTGTCCCGCTTCCTTGCGAGCAGCTTTACCTCAAGTTTCTCAGAGGAGAACATTGGGAACAAAGCTTCAAACCCAAGCAGAACGTTACACACACAATCTAACACTGCCTCGAGTGACTGTGACCAGCCCCAGGTGGCCATTTCAACAGCAGGAGGCTGTGGCTGGTTGGATTTCACCTCCCACCTCACATGTGTTTGAGGGCCAGCCAGCTTACTCAACACCAAGAACAATTATGCTTTCCACAGCCCTTTATTCTACAGTTGAATTGACCGTTTAAATGAAATGAACTATTCTAATCTTAGCTCCCCTGGATATCAGGATGCTGGACACTTGAAGATTTCACATCTTCCTCTTCTTTAACATCTCCCTGCTTGCCACATGGGCCACCTCCTCTGGTTAAGGAAAGGGAACGGCTCCCTCCTCAACGTGCAGTCACTTTATGAACCAAGTGAGCGCCCAGTGTGCAGGCATAACGGGATCCCAAACTTCTCTGGGCTACCCTAAGCACCTCAGACAGAAGATACACGTGGTCTGAGACACTCCTAGGAAGTAAAGAAGAGCCCCACACGGTGCCAAGTGTCCCCATTTTGCCCAAGAGGCAACTTCAGACAGCTCCACATTGCTCTTACAGAGTCAGCAACATACCTTAATGTGTCCCCCTTCATACTCGTATGGATATCTACAGTCAATTATCACACATTCCTTGATGAAGCTTGCAAATTTTCCAGTCAGCACAGACACAATCTGAAAAAAAAAAAAGAAAACCCATACAACAATACAGTTTAGATATTTTCAGATACTTTTAATAAATGAAGAGTTCTCCTTACTCTCCCTGGAACACATACCATTTCCGAGTCGATGTATTTTAAATCTTGATGCTTCCCATCAACAGTGTGGAACAAATAACCCTAGAAAACAGACAGCATTTAATTGAGAAATTCCAAGCATGTCCCACATACTTGGTAGCAGGGCATCCAGCAGCTAACTTCGTAACACAAATGCTTTATTGACCAAAATCTCTTCAGCAAAGCTTAAGAGCTAAAACAATTCCAAAATTTGAGGACAGCTTTTCTTTGGCTCCTGTGCTGAAGGGATTTTGTAGATATTTTTGAATGACCAGAAAAGAATCACTTCACATCTAACTTATGAAAGCGCTGTTCTCAGTGACAGCTTTCACCAGTAATTTGATTATGTGCTGTTGAAGAGAAGTGCTTCACTTGGGCTGGTTCAAGACATCTCTACCAAAAGAGAATTAATACAAATCACTTAATTACCTTTGAGAAGTCACCAATAAGGTCTCTCTGATCACTGTCCAAAATGCTTTCAATCTCTGCTGCAGAGGATTGTGTCTTTACTATCTTCAAATTCTAAAGGGAGACAGGTTAGAGAAGAACACTGAGCACTGACAGCAGAGACCCTTTCCCCACAGCGTAACCAAATTCAGTGTTTGACACCCTGAACTGTGACTCAGTTTCCCTTTTGGCTCACAGGAGAACAGGTTCAGGAGCATACACCTAGTGCACCAACTCCCCTCAGCTCCTACACTATGCACAGAGTTTGGATAAATCAGCAACTCGTTAGCCTTCATAAACTAGGGATAAACTTGGCAACTGTATTTCACCTTCCCCGCTTAATTAATTCTCTGCCACAACACTGAATGCCAAGCCACCAACCGTTGCGTCTTCGGATGGTGTTCCAGGCAGGCTTTTCCTCTTCTTGCTTTTCCCTGGAGAATTCTCTTCCTGTGACCTCTCCATCCTTTTCTGGGTAGTTCTGCCTACGCCACTGGGCAGAGCTGAAGAGCCAAACAACCGGCATCGTTTGGCCTACAAGGAGAGAAGTTAGAGTCGTCTAGCAAAGATTAAGATTAAAAATTAAGCCAGTCTCAGGCTCTCAGACCATTGAAAGTTTTGCCTTATGTAAGACCGTCACTGCATAGCAACAGCAAGGAGTAAATAGGGTCATCTAAATTGGGGACCTACACTGCCAACAACACTTGTCTCTTGCTGTGCAGACTGGGTGAGCGTAGAGCACAATGAGATGTGCTGGCAGAGTGCTTTCTATCAATTAGCAGACAATCTACCAGCAGATTAAAAGCCTTCTGCTGCGAGACTGAACTGCCCTCACAGTCTATTACCAGAAGACTGGGCTACAGGCACTTCAGGTAAGCCTGTGAAAAATGTTTTCAAGATATGTCAACAAGTGTCTGATAAGGGAAGTCAAAATCTTCCTGCATTTAGGAAGTGTTTTAGTAAAAATTTAACAGATACACGCACAATGAGCATTGTTCTACACTGATACAACCTTTCAGGCATCAGGCTTTAGCGATTACAAAATTGTGTAGGGTTTTTATACTACATCTTGTTCTGTTATACGGGATGTAGGATCAGAGGCAGTGTGATCACTTTTCCCAGGAGTGAAGATGTCTGCCAGAACAAAGTTCCCGTCTCTGTTCTGTTGTGCTCTGCTTGAGCACTCACCCGCATGTCCGTTTTCCTCATGACTAGCGGTGCAGTCCAGAGGCTTGCCACGTCAGATGGTATCTCCTCATCATTCTGGGAAACGAAAGTTCATTCTCATTTATTTCACCAGGGACAGACACTGTAAATATCTAAGGCTCTTGCATAGCTTGAGCAAACATTGCAATTTAATTCAGCTGCCAGAGCAGGTTTTGGAATTCAGCTCAATTACTAGCCCAATACTCAATAAAATAACAGCATGAGCTGACACATGTTGGAACAGGTTAAGTTATATCAATTGTTACTTAACAGCGATACTCTTCCTAAGCATTAAGCTTCTCAAGCTCAATTAGAAATAGTCTTGAAAGCAAATATTATCTCTAGCTCTTCAACAAGTTTTCTTTAGAAAATACCAACTACTCAAATAATTCTCTCTAGTAATGCAATTCAACTACCAACAGAACAGCAGCAATACCTTTAACTGCTGCTCTCCCACCAAGCAAATACCACTGCCTGCACTAGGAAACAGCACACAGAAAAACAGAAAAATGGAAGCATTGCAAAAGATAAGTCTTTTAGGAATCCTTAGTACCTGGCTTTTTGCAGACTGACATAACACTGCACTGACTTCTAGAACATACATGAGCTGCAGACATATTGTTGGCAGACTTAACATTATACAGAGATGATTTTAAGTGTTGATATTTTGTACATACCTTCAAATCTTGCTCATCTAAGAGCTCTAGGAATCCATCATCATCTTCACTTTCAGAGGAAGCTAGAGGAGACTGCTGCTGGAAAGCTGACCTGTGGTTTTCCAGCTCACCCGTGGGTATTTCATTAGATGGAAACTGAGGAAAAAATAGCTAGCTTTAATATTCTCTCTTTACAGTAGGATACTGCAAACAGAGATGATTCCATGCTGCTCACTAAACTACAGAAAAGATGGAGGTTATCCCAGCATTTTGGATAGATGGACTTGAGCAAACCCCAGACTGAGTTCCAGTACTTTATTTGATCCTTACAACTGCAAAGTGTTTTGTTAGCCTGGTTACACAATAATCCTCTTCTCTTAAAAGTTACTCAGTGAAGATGCAAAATGGAGGTACTGATAGTGTCATAGGAACAGGAATATTAACTCCACAGTTCTGAAGTACAAGATCAGGAGTACTACGCATGATGAAGTACTACGAGATTCAAGGACTGGAGAGAAGACTTGGCCCCTCAGCTCTGTTTCTGTGCAAGGATCCATCATGTTTGCTTTCTAGTTGCTTCTGCAAAGTTTTGCAAAGCAATAGCACATCAAGTAATATTTTTTTCCTGTGTGTCATATCTGGATAAGATCCAGTTGCATCTACACAGTTGGCTTCCTTGTTCCCAATGCATCTGCATCAATGTAAATATCCACTTTCCTGATAACAGAACCAATTACAAATTAACTTTATCTATTCCACATTTATGTCCCCATTCACTTGACTTACTGCAGCATAGCCTCAGCTCTGTATTTACTCATCTTCCACAGACTACAGAACAACCTCTCATGAGCCAAACAAGAGTTTTCTCATCTGACAGATAGATGAGCTTTCCTATTTGGCACATGAATAGTGACAATAAACAGCAGTGTCATAGAACCACGATGCAATTTTCCCTCTTCCCTAACAGTACGTATGTGGAGGAATAGGTGGGAATTTGTTGTCTAGAACACCACGGTACTTACTCCCTGAGCTGAGGAGGAATTTTGCCTTTGTCCAGGAACACCTTTGCCATCACGGGAATGGACGTGCACAGAACTACGAGAAGCTGGTTTGGTTGGCTTCTTAAACTCAAATGATTCCTGAATTAAAAAACAGAAAAGCGATCGTTTTACCAAAACAAGCTGTGTAAGTTGCTAGGATCATTGCATCTTCTTTCTTTAAGCTATCTGACATGTTGGATGTTAAGTTCCCTGCTGCCAACAGACATCGGAGCGTGAATGTTTTCAAAGTAAAGATGTTACAATAGTGATTCATTTAACGTAACCAAGCTTTTATCCTCTTGTTATCAGCAGGTTTAAGGATTTATTTTTTTTAATCTCTTTTGGTAGTCAATTTCTCTGCAAAAAAAATCATTTTTAAGGCAGCCAAGGCTGTGGCTTGGTCAACAGAATTATGTTTGTTGCTAGGTGACAGGCCCTGGCTGCTGAGCACCACTTTTCTGGAGAGACCTGTTGATGGCATGTCCAGCAGCCAGGCCATACAGACCAAGTAGGTAAAAGAACATTTGTGATGCTGAGGAACCCAAGTTCCTTATATCAGCAGTGAAAAAAGATATGGTGAACCATGCAGCCACCTCACAGCTACCTAAAGGTAGCACTATGAAAACATTTTGCCCTGCCACAGACTAGTCAGGTCCTATAGCACAAAGGAAGACCTGCACAGCCAAAGCCTTCCCAATTTTTATTAACCTGTAGTCAGTTTGCAGACACTATTATAATCAGTGTTGCTGCACTTCACTGCAAGTTTCCCTGAGATAAGCTGTGCAAAAACTTTGTCATATCTGAGCTGTAGTCTGGCAGGCACCAAGCAAAGCCTCTTCCACTGTGCCTGCTGAGGAAGGGGTGTGCTAATTCAGCTTCCTCACTATCACCTCTTACACAATCATCTCGGGAGACAAAAAGCAGTGCTTACATTCTCCTTGTTTTCATTTTGGTCTAAGAGTTGAAAAGCATCACAATCCAGAGAATCTGAATGGCTTCTCTTCAGAGCAGGACTGGATCCCAGGAGCCTCTGCTACAAAATTCATAGAGAAATGCTAGTTTAGTATCATGCTGTAACCTTTGCACAACCAGATCTTAAGCAAAAGAGGAGTTACCAGGAATATAAGGCATTCATCTGCAAGTTGGGGCACCTATGTGCAGGACATCTCATGCAGGTATCAAAATGCAGTGCTCCAATTGCACTGGTGACAAAGCTACAGCACTGAAGTTTTACATCAACACGTGGACAAGATTTCAAGTTTAGAAGCTGTCATTTTGACAGTTTAAGTCAAGCACCATAGCAGCTGTTCTTGAAGCCAAGAAATTAGCAAGATGTGGGACAGATCCAACTAAAAACACTTAACTCACAAAATCCTTTAACATTTACACAAGATCAATACCACCCTCACTTACTGGCAGTGAATGTATTCTTCTGAGAGGCAGTCGAATGCTACAACGAAAAAGAACCAAGATTACTATCTTTTAAAAGACAATGTTGAAATAAATGTGAGTAGAACTCACTTTTTTTCCAACAGAACTATAAGCTACAGGCAAATCCAGAACAGTCACTGATAAAGTTAAAACAAAAATACTTACTTCAGTCTGCTAGATTCAAGAATCGCCTTCTCAAACCTGAAATTGAGATGCCCCACAGTTAGCAAAGGATAGTAGACTAAAAGTCAGCCTTTTATTTAAGTCAGAGCATTATGCTAAACAGAAGCCAACATGCTTTTTGATGACGCTTTGTCCTTCTCAAGAGGTATTTACAGCCAGCTTATCCCATCCTAGTTTTCAAAGCACTAACTGGAATCCTGCTCTCGCCTCTCAGCATCATCTAGACAAGGAGCTAGATTAAAGGAATAAAAGCTTGGTAAATCAGGAACCAAAGGCATTTGGCCCACATAAATAAAGGACAAAGGATCTTTTTAAAGCTTGAATTGGGAGAGGCAAATTCCAAGCTAAAAACAACTGCTTTGTACCAGTTAAAGCATACACAAGCAAAAGTTACAGAATAAGTGTTGAGGGCAAAACTCCATGTGACTTGGTGCAGCCTCAGACCCTTGTAAGGCACCAGTGTCACACACAAATGGCTGAGTTAGTACAACACCAACGCAGACCCAAAACCTGCAAGTACTCTGGGACACAGACAAGACAGCGAGCCAGCATCTGCACAGCACTACAGCACACACTTCTAGAAGTCTGAGACAAAAACACGCTGCACACATGCCACACTAAAGGAAAAAAACAAAAAAAGAAACACATCGAGGTTCTCATTAGCCTGTATTTGTTAGTAGTACAACATGAAACAGAAGTCAGGCTTAGCTTGGGGTTACGTACGTTTCTTCCATGATGTCGTTGGAGGCCAGAGGACTGGGTGAATCCAAGGCACAACCTGCACAAGACAGACACCATTTTCTAACAAACAGTATCTTAGTACCAAGTAAATACAAGTTATTGGGCTTCCCTATAGAATTCCCCAAAAAGACACTGAGTCACCTAACGTGGAATAATCTTGGCTTATTCTCTCACATATATCTTAGTAAGTCATTCACTCCTTTAGGGTTTTTTAAGCCATGTTTTCAGTTACATCTCAGTTTAAGAAAAAAAGGTCATTTTTAACACATACTGGTGCACTGTAAACAAAAGCAAAGCACCCCAATAAGCAAAAATAACACAAGCAGAACATTACAACTACACAGCATCTTCTAAGTACAGTCGGATATGAAATCTGCTTAAACACAGATTCTCGGGGAGCTTCTGTTTTACAGTGTCCACAATCCCTAGTGACATGCACACAGCTTACCAGGATGTGCTCCATAGGATCATGCCAAAACTTGCTGCTGCTTCAGCAACTGATCTAAGCTAACAGCTACAAAACTCACCTGGCTAACAGGACAGGTGGAGGTCTCAGCACAGCAGAAGCCTTACAAGTATTTTGTAAACACTTGAGACCTGCTTTGGTGGCAGGAAAAAAAAGCCAAGAAGTAGAATAACCGAGCTGGCTACATCTCTATCTCCCCTTGAGGCTTGCCAGCCTTACTCACTTTCTGGCTTCCTTTGAAGAAATATGCACAAACTCCAGTGGAAACACTGGGTCAGCGAAATATCAGAAGCTCCTCTGAATCTGCAAATTATGGGGTAACTGCTTATTTTATTTCCACTGATAAAATTCATCTCACCCAGAGGGGGAAAAACAAAAAACAAATCAAGAGCACTTCTAGGCAAGTATCAGTTCTAAAACACAGCTCCCCAGATTTCAAGATAAACAGCCAGCTTCTGTATGCAAAAAGCCACAAACAAAACCCAAGCCACAAAGGAAACCCTGCTAAACACTTGATTCAAGCGTGCAGGGCAGGTTAGCACAGTTTGGGTTTCAAGAGAGAAACCACTCGCTTTCAAAGTTACCACCCTGCAAAGGGCAGAAACCCAAAGTGGTCCCATTCAGAGCGGGGTGCAGATACATGCTGGCTCCTATCAGTGCATAACGAAACGTTATCTCAGTTCTCCAGACCACAGCCCCAACGTGCAGCACTCGCAGCCCAGGATCTGCCAGCCCCCACAGACTGGAGGATAGCGGGGCTCCAATTCCCCGGGGAAGCTATCTCGGGCTATCTCGAGCTTCCACCCCTGCTGCAAGAGGGGCTGATCCACTCACGATAAGGTGTTGACCTACTGCCACGTACAGAACAGATCAAGGCAATCAGAAAACGTCCTGATAATCTGGATTTTCTCTCTACAAATCATGTTGGAGCACAAATCAGAGCAGGTCAGTAGCCACATCTTGCTTTTCTTTCCCCTCCTTAGGATGACTTCTCTGTGTCAGAGTCCCCCTCTGGAGCCAGAACCAGTTTTTCCTCCACGCTAGCTCTGCTGCTAGCATGCTTCAGGACAATTAAAGAACCCACAACCCAAAACAGGGACTGCAGGAGCTTTGCTGAGGGATGGAGATGTGCCTGCCTTCCACGAGCCTGAGGATGAGAAGTGGCTACAGGGATTGCAGGCAGCATTAGCTCTGTGTCCCAAAACCTGAAAGCAGGGTGCAGATTCAATGCCCTTCATCCCTCACCCATTTTTACTCCCTGAGAACACCCTACCTGAATCTGTTGACTCCGATGACACCGTTCTCTGCAGACCATTGGCATTCTTGTTTCCTGGATCTTGTTCAGCGTTTTCATGCTGACTGTAAAAGAAGTTCAGGGCTCATTTTAAATGCTTGTAAAGTGAGGAATACAGAAGAGGATACGAAGGGAGCTATTCAGCACAGGGAAGCATAACCCAAAACAGTTACTGCCAGCCAAGTACAAGGATTCCTGCAGACAGCAGTCTTTCGTGTGCTCCATGCTGCTGAACACACGGGCAATGCCACCACCAGATCACTGCACCTACAGACATGCTCAGGGCCTTCAAGGACCTCAATTTCAGTGTTTTTTTCTTTTAAACAATACACATGTAGTATTGGTGATGTTAGAAACAAGGCTTCCAAGAGAGGAAGATGAGGGGTGGCTGGAGAAGGGGGTGTGCAGAGGAAATAACTCAAACCATGAGGGTTTTCTGGAACTACGCTTTAGAGTCTCTCGTGATCCTGTACCTTCACAAATTGAGGTTCTAATATAGCAAAACACCTTTCAATAAAACTTTAGGATTAAAACCACTTTAAACATGGAGTAGGACATCGGTGCCTGGAGTTCTGGCAGCACCTCCCATATAATCCACTAGAAAAACCTTTATCAGAGCCCAGTTATCTTTCTTGGGACTGTAACCCTCTGTGGCAGCCACTGATTTAATGATTGCTTTGTATCTAAAAAGTTAGACAATTGTCTTTTTTGGTGTTTTTTTTTGTTAAGTAGTGAGGTCTCAAGTTCTGACTGACCAGTTAAGACCCTCCCCTCCCACAGGACCATCAGATGAGTGTGTGGGTGAAGGGGCTCGAGGCACCCAGAGCCCCACAGAGCTGAAGGAGCGCACGAACTGCCCAAGCCCTGCAGGCACACGCGTCCTTCACACGTGGGCAGGGGTCCCAGCAGCTTCACAGAGATGCATATCGTGCCCAGGAGCACTCTGTTATCTGAATTACGGGAGGAGCTTCTGCAGGGTGGCTTCTCTCCTCACGCCAGGTAATTGAAAAGGTGCACCAGGGCACGAGCTAGGGGCACAAAGTCAAAGGACAGAAAAATAACCGTGGAGGGGGCTGGTGCGAGTCGCTCGCAGGAATTCCAGGAATCTGAAGGAGGGGAGAACCATAAAGAAAGCAGATTACAGAAATGAAAGTGAGAGAAAGCCAAAAAGCAAAGGGCAAAGAGCAGGAGGGATCTCAGGACCGCACAGGAGGCCAGAGAAAGGCAGGGGCTGTAGGAGATGGATTGTAGAGCTAGGAAAAGGGAAAAGCATGCAGCCTTGGAGCCACACACAGGGAAGGGCTTGGAGTGAGGAAGATGCCCAGAGCTGGGAGAAGATGGTGGCACGTGGTGAGCCACCAGGGGAGGAGGAACATGGCCCAGCAGGCAGGAGGCAGCAGGAGCCCCAGCACGTGTGGGCAGGGGAGCAGGGCCTGCATGGGAGGGAAAAAAAAGGCGGCAGGGAGGCAGGGAAAGGGGAATGCGGTGGGAGGAGGAGCAGTGGAGGGGGCTCGGTTTGGGGGCAGCACGGGAAAAACTGCTTGGGGGGTGGGGAATGAGCTCAAGGTCTTGCATTTTGGGGGTGGAAGAGGCCCTCGAGGCTTCAGTTGGGGGAGAGGGAGAGGAAGAGGAGGCCCTCGAGGCTGCAGTTGGGGAGGAAAGGAGGAAAAAGAGACCCTCGAGGCTGCAGTTTAGAGGGGGGGGAGGAGGAAGAGGAGGCCCTCAAGACTGCAGTTGGGGGAATGTGGGGGGGAGAAGAGTTCCTCGAGGCTGCAGTTGGGAAGGGGGGGGGGGGCGGGAGAAGATGAGGCCCTTGAGGCTGCAATTTGGGGTGGGGGAGAGGAAGAACAGGCCCTCGAGGCTTAAGTTGGGGAGGGGAAAGAAGAGACTCTTGAGGCTGCAGTTTGGGGGGAGTAAGAAGAGAAGAGGCCCTCAAGGCTGCAGTTGAGGGGGGGGGGAAGAGTTCCTGAAGGCTGCAGTTGGTGGGGGAGGGGGGAAGAGGCCCTCAAGGCTGCAGTTTTTGGGGGTAGAGGAAGAAGGGACCCTCGATGTACAGCTGGGGGGGAAGGAAAAAGAGGAGACCCTCAGGGCGGTAATTTGGGGGGGAGGGAGGAGGAAGAAGAGGTCCTCGAGGCTGCAGTTGGGGGGGAAGAGGAGGGGGAAGAAGGGACCCTCGAGGCTGCGGTTGGGGGTGGAATGAAGAGGACGTAATTTGGGGGGAGGGAGAGGTAGAAGAGGCCCTGAAGGCAGCAGTTGGGGAGGGGGAGAAAGAAGAGAAGGCCCTCGAGGCCCTGTTTCTGCAGGGGGGGGAAGGGGCAGAGGCGCCCCACGGGGCCGTGCCGGAGCGGAGGGGACGCGACGGGACCCCCCCCGGGCCTCGTCTCACGTGTGGGGAGAGAAAAAGAAAGGAGGAGAGAGAAAAAGAAAGGGGAGGAGAGGAGCCCCCGGTCCTGCCCTGAGGGGAGCGGAGCCCCCAGGCCTCGCTGAGGGCCGGGAACAGGCCCCAAGGGTGGGGGGGGTGAGGGGGGGGACACGGGGCCCGCGCGGACTGACCCGGCCGAGCCGCGTCCCAGCTGCTCCATGGTGAGGCGGAGGTCGGAGACGGGCGAGAGCTCGGCGGGGAACAGCGCCTTGACGGCGGCGGGGGAAGCCGGCGAAAGCAGCAGGAGGCGGCGGCGGTAGGAGCCGCCCGGCGCGGCCTCCATCGTCCCTCCCGGCCTCCTGTCAGCGCCGCCGCCCGCCCCGAAGCTGGCGCCAAAGCTCCCGCCGCCAATCGCAAGGCCGCTCTGCGCGGCGCCGCGCGGGGGGCGGCTTTTATAGCCTCCTGTCGCCCCGCCCACCTCCCGCTCGGCGACCAATGGGAGTGGGAGAAGGGCGATTTCCCGGCTGGTTGACGGCCGTTCTGACCAATAAGAGAGGGGTACGGTGGGGGGACTGCATTTCCCAGCGTGCCGCCGCGAGGCGGGCAACGCGCTCACTGGTTGCCCGCCTCGCTGTGGCATGCTGGGAAATGTAGTCCTCTGCCTGTGCCTCCCCGTCGGAGGCTCTGTCCCCGCGGCCCTCCCCCCCCTTAAAATGGGGGAAGATGAGGAGAAAAGGCACAAAATGTGCAAAAAACGGGGCCTCGGTGAACCGAGGGGCCCGACCCGGGCCATTTCTGCCCAAACAATGCCCCTGATGGTGATAAACAAGCGGTGTCCCCAGGGAGGGAGGCGCTGAGCGCCGGCGTCCAGCCGAGCACTGCCGCAGTCAACACAGCAATGGAGGCGTCTGTCACAAGCAGCACATCTGGAACCTTCCACAGCCCACAGCCCCCCCAGAGCAACACCAACATCGGGGCACGTCCCGGTGGCACCCTCAGCAGAGCCCCAGAGGCACCTCTGGGCTCCGTCTGTCCCCTTTCTGTGCAGCACGAGGTCCCCTTTGTCTCCTCGTTTCCCGGCCGTTTGCTGCGTCCCCAGGGCTGTGGCGCCTGCACAGCTCATTGCTCCTCCGTGTGCTCTGCCCGCCCGCCGATTCCCCGGCCCTTGGGGCGAACGGGGAGGAAAGGCACGCGTCCATTTTGCTCGGCTGCAAAATGGATGCGTGCCCGGCCTCTCAGAGGACAGGCACCTCGCTGTGCCCTGCCCTGTAATGTCAGCCCTGCCTCCGGCCCTTGGTCGTGGGCTGTACACGATCCCGTTTTGTAGGCTGAAAAATAGGGAAATGGTGGGACAGGCCCCGTGTTTTCTCCTTGTATAAGGGGTTGCAGATCTCTGCTGCTGACCTGAGCCCCCGGGATGTGTTCTGCCAGAGCTCCCAGTGCTGCCCTTCCAGCCGCAGAGCTGGTGGGTCCGATGTTATCAGCCCTGATAAGTGTGGGTACGGGCCTGGCTGGGGGATCCCCTGGCTCCACGACACCACACATCCCTCAGCCTGGGCCCTGCCACCCCATTTGGGGTGCTCGCGGTCCCTTGATGAGACACCACAGCATTTGCTCCCTCCTGTCTCCCCCTGACCACCCGGGATCTCACAGATCATCATCACACCCCTGCCACCTCCAGCCCTCCCTGCAGCTCCCTGCTGGGCCCTGAACTTTTCTTTTTTAGGGAGGGGAACACTTTTGGATGTTTTATGTGGGCACTTCCCAGCACAATTAGCAGCTCTGTGTCTCCACCCCGAGTTCCCAGGTGTGGGGTGACTGTGTCCCAGCGCTGCCCCCACCACACCAAGCAGCGCTGTCAGAGACCCCACGGGCACCCAAATCTTCCCTGCCTTCTCCAGGGGGTGTCAGGGAGGTTTTGGGGTTCTTCTCCAATATGCAAGGTTTTGTGATCCCTTGAGATGGTCAGGGATGGGTTGGCTTTCTCTGCGTCCAGTGTCACCTTCACTAATGTACAACAGAGAGCAATGTCGGTCTGTTTCCTGCTGAGAAGCAAACCAGCTTCTTATATTTATATATATTGATATATATTGATATATATTGATATATATTTATTTATATTATTTATTTATATTTATATATATAAAGCGCCTATCACCGTATTGATAAGCACTCTTTGGAACCACTATGATGATGGGTAAGAACAGGAGCTGGCCTGCCAGTACCTCAGCACTTCTGGTTCCAAACAATTTATATATAAAAAAACTCTTTTCCCTCCTCTTTTTCAGGGTCACGTGAGCACACCAGGCCCCACCAGTGCACAAGCAGCACCACAACCCCTCAGAGGGCACAGCACCCTCGCTGCCCTCCCTGCCAGACCCAAAATGCTCCCTGAAGCAGGATGGAGCCGAGCAGCGTTGCCACATGCCAGGGACGGATGCAATGGGCTTTGCCAACCCCCTGCATCCATCCCTGCTCGATAGCCCATTCCTCCAGGGCCTCACGTCAGAGACCACAGTGTGGGGGAAACTGAGGCAGGCTCGTCATGCACATCATCCCCAAAACTGAGAGGGCAGACGGACTGCGGATGGCTTCAACCTGCCTCGAGCCCTACGATGCTGCCAGGACCACGGCGAGCCCCGGGAGCACACGGAGGCGTTCCCAATCTCTGCCTAAAAGCCAAAGGTGTGCACCCGCTGCCACGTTTAACCCAGGTCTCACAGATCACAGCGTGAGAAAAAAAAGTCTCCAGAAACAGCAGAGCCAAGGGCCGAGTGCTGCCCCAGCTCTTCTGTGGCATTAGCATCTCTGGGTCACTCCTGGCGTGGAAGTAGAGCTTTATTTTCACGGCAGACCCAGTTAAAACGAAGGGATCCAGTTTTAGACGGACACGGGATTTAGATGTTGGGCTGTGAACCTATCACTGCCCCAAGGAAGCTCATTTCTGGAAAGTTTTTCTCCCCATTTGTGCCCAGCAACTCCAAAATCTTCCCCCTTTCTCTGTCCAACGTGCTCAGCAGGTTCACTAGAAGAAGGACAGGGAATTACAGGAGGTCTCTCTCCTCTTGTGGTACCTCTTGTGGCAACATCCCAGAGCCCAGCCACTGCCACACTGGGTCCCGGGCACCAGCACAGAGGTGCAACCACCTCGGGCTCCAAATAACATCACCCGAAGTCCCAAATCCTCACTGGGACAAAAATACCTCCCCATCACCTGCTGCTCAGCCCCCGGCAGCGTTCCCAAGCCTGTGCCCAGAAGGGCCACGGGTGGAGGAGACACTGAGCTCGTTTTGTACCTGTCCAGAGCGTGTCCAGCAGCAATTTCCTCTCCAAATCAGGTCACCGTGCCCCAAGGCAGGCACGCAGAGACCCCTGAGCCGTCCCCTCCTCTGCAGGATGCGGTGCTGAGGAGAGGGGGACAAAGAGCACGGGGAAAGGGAAAAAGGGTTTGGGGGGAGAGCAGGAGGAGAGGGGAGAGAGGTGGCAGGGCTGGATGTCCCAAAATGACAGCGGAGCTGAACGAGGCCAGGATGGAGGGATATATGGGATGGACAGGGAGGAAACAGCAGTGTTACGGGGACGGGGATAAAAATTAACGGGGAGAGGGAAACATGGGGTGTACCCATGAAGAGGGGTGGGCGGACAGGCAGGGAGGGCATGGCAGGCACATAACCATCAGCGCATCGCTTCTGTTTCCTCATTTGGGATTAAACTCTTCTTTATGTTTTTCTAGGGAAAAAAAATAATGGTCTGGACTGTCTCCTAGAGGAAAATAAAAGCATATTTGGTGATTTGGGGGTTAGATTTGCAGGAGTGAGATTGCGTCACCAAACAGACCCTGGGGGGGGGGCAGAGAGGGGTGAGTGGGGCACAGTTTTTGAGGTTACCTCGGATGGGAAAGGCTGAGCCCAGCGACAGCACCCACCTCTGTTAGAAACCGGCTAGAGAGAGCCCGGTGTGCAGCTGTTTTAGCCAGGAACATTTCTGGAACAGCTTCAAACCCTGAAGTTTGTGGGCTTTTTTTAATTATTATTATTATTTATTAGGAAAAAACAACTTTTGGTGTTGGAAGTGGGATTTGTGGGAAGAGGCTGGGGGTGACAGCAGCGCTGTGGCTCGGATGCGCTCCGTAAATCGGAACAAAAACGTAAATTCTGAACAGAAACTCCTGCTCCTCCGAGGGGTGCCCTGGCGGAGGGGGCTCCGTGCAGAGGGGAGACCCCAACCTGTGCCCAAAATGCCCCCCAATCTGTTCCCCTGTTCCCAAAGGAGACCCCGACGCCTGCCTACTGGGGACCCCACCTCGTGCATGTGCACGTCTCCATGGCTCCCTTTGTGTGTCCATGCTTTCGGGTCTCAGCTTTCGGAATTTGGTTAAAAAAAAAAATCCCATTCCCGAGCACTCAGAGCCTTCAGGGCTGCGGTTCGGCGCGGCCGCCCTGGCTGCTTCGACCACTTAAAGAAATTAAATCATTTACAGCCTGAAACGTGCCCGGGAGCTTCTCCCCAGCAGGCCGGCGGTGCCGATTTCCACCCGCCAGGCTCGGGGTTAATGCAGCTGAAGGGATTGTGCCAGGGCAGCAGCTGGGACAAGCGGGAGCCCGGCGTAATCCCCTGCTCGAGCGGCTTCCTGGGGCCGCCCGCTTCGCTGCGCCCCTTCCGCAGGCAAAGAAATCCCAGTGAGGGGCTCCGGGCTCCATCCTGCCCCCCCAGGGCTGCCCACCTGTTCCCCCTATTTCTTCTTAGGAATTAAAAAAAGGAGGATGCCGGGGTGCTGAGAAATAGAATCAGTTCGGTTCTTGCTTTTTTTTCATCTTCCTAATTATGAGAGGGGGGAACCAGGGCTGCTCCTGCCAGCCCATGCGCCCAGACCCCAAACAACTCCCAGCACGTTTTGGGCACCAGCCCGGTGGTGGAGACCCAGGAACCTCATCCAGCGCCTGCCCCAGCAGCCCCAAAGTGCTCCTGGCTGTGCTGGGTTGCTTCCTAGCTCGGAAGAGTCTGGGAATGACAAATTTAGGAGCTGTTCATACGCACACGTCGATATCTACGAGCCTTGTTGGCAAACGTGCTTCGAGAACCATGGAAATGCCAGGGCTTCGATACAGCATTGGCTCTGGAAATGGCAGGGCAGTTGACCCCAAAATTGTGGTTTTTAATGCCCCCCACAGCCTCTCCCATCACCGCTGTGTTTGGTGACACCACATCCAGCACCACGGCCCCGTGCCCGGCCAGGAACCCAGCGCTGCTGCCCCAGACGTGGCCGGGATGCGATGGGGACAGCTCGGGGACACCGGGGACCTGAGCACCGGGGGTCTCCCGGCAGCAAAACCCCCTTGATTTGGGGGCAGAGCTGGTAAAGGCACTGCAATGCCACTGGTAAGGGTTAGGGTTACACGGGCAGCCCTGCTCGCCGAGATGCATTGAAGGAGAGCGGCAGAAACCCCAAAGTTTTGTGCACGGGGACACCACGACCCCCACAGGGATCATCGCAAGAGGACGGAGGCGAGCAGGAGCAGCTCGGGACGGGCTCGTGGGTCTCAGCCCTTTGGGGACACGGCCACAAACCCACGGCAGGACGCAGGGGACGTCCTCCTGCCTCCATGCACCGCGCCTCGCGCCCGTGACCCCTTGGGCACAGCTCTCGTGGCAGCAGCAGGACCAAGTGCCCGGGGTCACCGCTGCCAGAAACGAGCGTTTGGAGGAGCCTTGGTGGCGGGGCCCTACCAGAAAGATGTCCTTGGACTGGAACTAGCATTTTATTCTATTGTATAATCCATGAGTGCATCACAGCCCCGAGAGCCGGGCAGGCACCTGTCAGCGCTTCCAGTTTAGATACACAGAGAACTTTCCTTGCCTCCTTGCATCTGCCGGAGCTCCCCGCCGCCACGGCCACCGCGGCCACCCCCGAGAGGAGGCAGAGCCTGGTGCCGGGGCAGCAGCACCTCTGCAGAGCTCCCGGGCAAAAAGTGACCGTGTCACAATCAGCCTGCGGAGCACTGGGGGGCAAAAAAAAAAAAAAAAAAAAAAAAAAAAAAAAAAAAAAAGAGATATATATATATATATAGCTTGGCGATCCTAAGTTTGCTTATCAAATAAAAAGTTCCTCCACATTTATTAAAAAAACCAAACAGTAGATTTAAAAAGCAGTTACGAGTCCTACTCCGGCAAAACACCCTGTACAGGTTTTCCTTTCTCGTTGGCTGTCGTCGTCGACGGTGAGGATCCTCCCTAAATCAGCTGCTGCTGTTAATTTTATATATATATATAATCTCTTAATTTTGCCGCGCGTTTTGCTTGCTTTAATTAATTAATTTATTTCCAATCGGCCTAGCTGTCTCCACCAGAGCAGCGGCGCTACCACACAAAAGCTTCCTTGATGTCCATGCCCTGAGCCGGGGGAGTGGGAGGGGATGGAGGGATGGGGAGGGGGGGAAGAGATGAGCGAAGGAGGAGGATGAGGAGGAGGAGGGCTGGAGGGAAGGGAGGGAAGGGAGAGGAAGCCGTGGCAGCCCCTCACTCTCCCATGTGCGTCCTCAGGTGGTACTTGAGGGACTGCTTGTAGCGGAAGCACTTGGTGCACTCGGTGCAGGGGTAGGGCCGCTCGCCGGTGTGCGCCCGCTGGTGCTCCAGGAGGTGGTGCTTCTGCGTGAAGTTCTTGCCGCACTCGGTGCAGTGGTAGGGCCGCTCGCCCGTGTGGATGCGCTGGTGCTCCAGGAGGTGATGCTTGCGGATGAAGCCCTTCCCGCAGACGGCGCAGGCGTGCGGGCGCTCCCGCGTGTGGATGCGGTAGTGGTTGGTGAGCTTGGACTTCTCGCTGAAGGTCTTCTCGCACTGGCTGCACTGGTAGGGCCGCTCGCCGGTGTGAGTCCGCTGGTGCCGCAGGAGGTGGGAGGGCCGGGTGAAGTTCTTGCCGCACTGGGGGCAGAGGAAAGCCATCTCGCTCTTGCCGGCGTGGATCCTCTGGTGCATGATGAGGCTGATCTGCAGGCGAAAGCTCCGCCGGCACTCGCCGCAGGTGAAGGGCCGCTCGCCGACGTGGGTGATCTGGTGCTTGCTGAGGCTCGACTTGTGGCTGAAGCTGCTCTCGCACTCGGAGCACTTGTAGGGTTTCCCCGGGGGCGGGGGACGAGGCTGGGGCTTGAGGCCGTGCTCGGGGCGCCGGGGCACCCCCACGCCGCCGCGGCGCGTGTGGCTGCGCTGGTGCAGCAGGAACTGCTGCTTGTTGCGGAAGCTGAGGTCGCAGTCGTGGCACTCGTAGGGCCCCTCCTTCAGGTGGTTGCGCTGGTGGATCACGAAGTTGATCTTCAGCATGAAGCTCTTGCCGCACTCGGGGCAGATGTAGGGCCTCTCCCTCGTCCGGTTGCGCTGCTGGGCCATGGTCGGCTTCATCTCCCCCGAGTCCCTCTCGCAGGAGGGGGGCTTCCCCACGCGGCCGGCCGCCAGGCTCCGTGCCGGCGCCTTGGAGCTGCACTGAGCCTCGCAGCCCAGCCCGGCCTCGTGGTTGGGGAAGGAGGGCGGCTCGGTCCTCCCCGAGAACATGGTGCAGGGCTCCAGCGTGTCCGGGTCGTCTTCTTCCTCCTCCTCCTCCGTCTTGATCACGATCCCGTCCTCTGCGGGGAGAAAGCAGAATTTGGGGAGGGTGGGCGCACGGCGGATCCCTGACCGTCACCCCGTGGTGGATTTTGAGTCGGGATATGGACCTTCCAGAGGCTTTCTAGGAAAAGCTGCCAGGTTTTCCCAAAAAGAGGCAGCCCACACCGGGTTGTCTCCAAGGCACGGCCCTCTCCCCTCCCCTCGAGGAGGCAGAAGGGGAAAAACCATTCCCGGGGTGCCCCTCCACCCCCTGGCCTCACCCGAAAGCTCACACATCACGGATCCAGCCATCCTCATCCCTGCCCTCTGGACATTCCCTGAGCTCTGTGTTTTTGGGGACACGTCCCCAAATATGAGGACAGGTCCCCAAACACGGGGCCAGGTCCCTTCCCCTTGCAATCCGCCCCCCCAGCAGCTCCCCCTTCCCAAATTTGTGCCCTTGCTCACCCCGTGCACGTGCAGAAGCGTGGCCCTGTCCCTGCTAAACAGCATCCTCGTTCCCCAGGCTGTCACCCCGATGTCCCCACCCCAAACCCAACCCCTGCCCAGCCTCTGCAGCCCCTGGCTTTGCTCCCTTTTCCTGCCCCGACAAGAGTTTTTGGGAAAGGCTTTTCCCAAAGGGGATCCCAGCAGGTCGGGTGCCCCTTTGGATGATGCTCAGCACCGATCCTGGGGGGGAGGATTTCTCCCCAATTTTCCCTCCGAGCCTTCTCCCCACCTCTCACCTGTGCAGCTGCCGTGGTGCACGATCACCCTCTGGATCTCGTTGAAGTCAGCCACGTACTCGGAGGGGTCGCCCAGGCTGGTGCCCGGCAGGTCTCTGGGAGGGGAGACGGAGCCGTAGGGGCTCTCGCAGGCGGCCTCCTCATCCGGGCTCTGGAAGCTCCCCTCCGACTGTCCCGACATCCCGTGCAGCTCGGGGTTTTCGGGGCTGTCCTCGGGAAGCAGCTCCTCCGTTTTGATCACGACCCTGATGCCAGCTGCAGCAAAGAGAGGTGCCCACCGGCGTCAGCCCCGGGGAGCTGGGAATCCGAAGGATCTGGGGACCCCACACCCACTCCTCGGTGCCCCTCGGCCACCCCAAATCCCCAGGCTGTGGGGTCGAGCCAGCAGCCCCGAGGGCAGTGGAGGATTTCCTCCTGTTGGCCCTGATTTAACTTCAAAATCCTCGTCTCCTCCACCACAGCTCTCGGCACCGAGTGTTTTAGCCTTGCTCCCTCCTGCCCGTCCCAATTCCCCTCACGCCCTCGTCTCGCTGCCCTCACCTGCGGTGGCATCGGTGATGATCTCGCTCTCCTCCAAGTCCTGCTCGTTCCTGACCCGCGTTTCCTCCCCTTGCTCGATCTGGGACAAAACGCCGGGTTTGGAAATTGCATAGTCTGTGGGGAGAGAGAGGGAGGGATTACCGGAGAGGGAATCCTCAGGCTCAGCTTCCACCTCTCCCGGCGCAAGGGAGAAAACACGAAGGGACCGGGGAACAGCCACCAAGGAGCCCGGTGCTGGGGGTGGGCTCCCCAGACAGCCACGGGGGAAGGAGCTGCAGAAGTTTTCTCTGGAGAGGTACGTGAGCAGCAGACCCAGAAGGCGAAGGGAAAGCCCTTACGACAGCTTTTTCAGCGAGTATCTCTGGCTGCAGGGGGCCTCGAGAGGTCTCCAGCCCCCCTCGCCCTGCGCTGGCGCATCGCGCATCGCCAGGAGGCAAGAGCAGGACTGGAAACCTCCTCCTGTATTTTTTCAGTCTCCCTTTCAACTGGGACATTTGGGTCTCAGGAGGGTCGAATTGTGAAATTGAGGAGGAGATGGAGGACGCCTGGGGCTGAAGGCAGCCAGGGATTCCCAAGAAACCACCTCGGGGCAGCAAAGGGGGCACCCGTGTTTTACCCAGGGAGATCAGGGACTCGTAGTTCCCCTTCATCACGTTCTTGTACAGCTCCTTCTGCCACTCCTCCAGCTTCTCCCACTCCTTGTCATTGAAATAGACGGACACGTCGTCGAAGGTCACCGGCACCTGCAACCACAAGCACCAGGGGTTCAGGGGACCTCATTTCAGCCCTCGATTCCTTTCCCCCCCTCTCACCCCGTGGACGTGGCCAGCTCCTTCGTGGCCACCACCGGCTTTGTGTTTTTATTGGAAAACGACTTGGAGACCCGAGTTTTCCACCCTGTGACATCAAAGGGCTCGTCCAAACACCCGGCTTGGTGCGCGCCTGGAGGGAGCGTAAAGGAGATAAAAACCGGGTGCCGCGGCTGGACCTCATCTCTATTGATGAGCTGACGTAAAAACCCAGATTCAATTACCCCAGAACTCCAGGGAAAACCCGACCCAGGCCCTGAGTTATCATTAGTTATTGCTCGCAAATTGGCCGGGAGCAGACGGCAGCTTCCGAGGCTGTTTTGGCCGAGCAGGAATTTCTGCGGATAAATTCAGGATGCGGCCGGCTCGGGGGGGCTGTGCCCAGCTCCTCGGGGAGCCCCGCGATGCTCAGCCGTGCCTCCCCCCGGGGTTGGGGTCAATCCTCCTCCCGCAAACACCCACGGGGGACCGGGCGCCGTTGATTTCCCCGTGTAGGGAAGGGTCCCATCAGCAAACTTTTGAATATTCATGGTGGGAGCCTTTTGTTGCTGAAGATGCTGAGCCCAAGCTGGAAGGGCGGGCGCTCCTCATCCTCCTGCGGATCCCCGAGGTCCCCCCGTGCTTGGCACCGCAGACCCCGCGTGCTCCTTCCTCGGGTACCACCATCCATCCTCGGGGATCCAAAAGTGGTAGGGAAGGAGCTGCTGAGCCTTCATGGGTGCTTGTTTCGACCTCCAGTGGTGGTTAGAGGTGAGCTGCTGTGGCACAGCTGGCTGAGCCAGAACTGAAACCTCCCTAAATGCCACCTGGGTTATGGGGAGATGCTGCCCCCATCAATTCCACCTCCCTCCTTTTTGGACATCCCATTGTAGGGCACCGGGATGCCCAGGAGGGCAGCTTTGCCATCTGAGCTCCCCCCAGGTCCCCTTTGGTGAGCATCTACCCCGCGTCGGAGCTGTCCCCGCTCACGGAAAGAATTTGGGGAGCAGCCCCTGCGCCCTGCGCCCACTCCCCAAGCCCCGGACACCGTTACCTTGGGGATTTCCCCCTTCCTGCCGGGGGGCAGGCGCAGGATCCAGAAGTTCCTGTTCTTCAGCAGGTTCTCCATGTTCTCCAGGCGCCGCTGCAGCAGCCCGTACTCCTGGATGAGGGTGCCCAGCGCCGCGCACTTGCTCTCCAGCTGGTTGCCCAGCTCGGCCGCCGTCTTCTCGCAATCGATCAGCTTCTTCTCGGCCACCCCCGTCCTGCCCTCCAGGTCCAGCAGGCGGGTGGCGTGCGAGTCCACCTTCCTCTCCACCGCCTGCACGGCCGCCACCAGCGTCAGGGACAGCTCCGCCGTCTGCGTCTCCCTCTCCGAGGTGCGCTCGGGGCCGGCGGGCGCCTGGAAGGGCGAGGGGCAGCGTGGCTGCAGCACCAGCTCCGGCGCCTGCGGGTAGGGACGGGGAGGGGGGGGGGGTCACCGGGGACGGGCACAACCTTTGGGACCCCCCCCAAGCCCCTCGAGGTGCTTGGGGACCCCCTCGGGGCTGAGCCACCCCATGGTGGTGGCGATGTCCCCGTCCCAACCCTGGGGACCCCTCCCCAAGCCCCTCGAGGTCCTTGGGGACCCCCTCGGGGCTGAGCCACCCCAATGTCCCCATCCCTTCCCGTGTCCCCGCTGGGTGCTGACCCCGTTAAGCTGCTTAGGGCCGGGTCCTACGGGACCGGTGTCACCCAGGAGGTGACACTTGGAGGGGGGGGGCCACACACACACACACAGAGGGGACATCGCAGCCCCGTCACCATGGGGACGGGGAGGGGACACCCCGGGGGGACAAGCTGGCGCTGTCACCCTGTCGCCATGGGGACGGGGAGGTGACACGGGGGGACCTGTCACCGAGGGGGGGGGGGTGGTGACAGCAAGGGGGGGGGCGCCCAGACGGCTCCGTCACGGCGCCACCGGGGGGGAGCTGCGGGGATCGGGGTGGGGGGGGGGGGGGGGCCGGCGGCGCCGGTTCCCCCCCCCCACACCCCCCCCAAGGCCTCCGCAGGGCCCCGGGGTGTGGGGGGGCGGCCCCGAGGGGGCGGGGGGGGGCTCCGGGAAGCGCTCCCCGACGGCAGCGCCGTCTCCACCGGCCCCGGAGGCCCTGCTCGGCCGCGCCGCCCCCCCGGGGCTCCCCACGCCGCCGCCCCGTCGGGGGGGGGGGAGGAAAAAAAGACGAGGGGGGGGAAGGAAAAAAAGACCGGGGGGGGGCTCAGCCGCGATCCCGGTGCTGACAGCCCCCGGCCCGGCCCGGCCGCGGCCTCGACGGCGCGGCCCGCCCCGACGGTGCGGCCCTGGGGCGGCTCCGTGCCGGGCCTCGGCCCCCCCCGGTTAAAATTGCGGCTGCCCCCCCCTTACCTGAGCGGGAGCCCCCTCGGCCATGGCCCCTTTGTTCCCTGCCCGGAGCCCCGGGGGCCTGGGCCGGGAGGATCCAGCGCCCGCTCTCTGCTTCACCTCCGGTGGCCGCCGGGCATGGGGCGGGCAGCGCCGGGACTCGAGGGGGGGGGCGGCGAATCGACGGGGCTGGGAGGGGAACGGAGGAAAAAAAGAGGGGTGGGGGGGGCACCGGTGGAAGAAGAGGAGGAGGAGGAGGAGGAAAGGGGGGGGAGAGACGACGGGGCGGTGAGGAGAGCCGAGCTGAAGCGGCTCCGAGCTGGGCGCTCCGGCCCCGCCGCTGCCCCGCCGCACCGGCAGGGGGCGGGCGGGACGGGGACGGCGCCGCCGCCGCCGCGCGGGGCCTCGCCGGGGGCCGAACCGGGTTTGGAAATGAGGGGGGGGGGGAGAAAGGAGGAGGAGGAGGAGGAGGAGGAGGAGCGGTGGGGGGGGGGGGGGTCGCCCCGCCCGCTGCCCGCAGCGCCCTCTGCCGCACCGACGGCATCACCGCGCCCGCCCCCGCCGTCGGTGGCCCCCAACCGGGAGAAACGGAGGCGCCGGGGGCGCAAAGAAGCAGAAGGGAAAGGCCCTGGGGTCCTCTTCCTCTTCACCACCCCCCCCCCAAAAAAAAAAAAAAACTCCGGTTCCACCGACGCCAGCCGACGGGCGGTGCGGGGAGGGATGCGCAGAGCGGCCCCCGGGCCTCTGGGGAATGTGGGGGGGGACTGGGAGGGACTGGGGGGCACTGGGAGGGACTGGGGGGCGCTGCGGGAACCGGCAGCGCCCCCCCCACGCAGGAGCAACCCCGGAGCTCCCCCCCTCGACGGCAGCCATCGGGCCCCCCCCTCCCACCCCCCCCGGGTCCCGGTATGGATGCGGGGGGCTCCGGGCGCCCCCTCGTTGTCCCCGCTGTCCCCAACCCCCCCCCCCCGCGGTGGTGTCGCGAAATGGCGGCCGGAGGGCAGCGTTGCCATGGAGACCGCCCTCCCTCCCCCCCCCCCCCACAACGATCTGACCCCCCCCCCCTCCCCTCCTCCCCGAGCGGTCCCCGAGGAGCGGCACCGACGGGAGGCACCGCCCCGGGCACCGGGACCGGGGGGGGGTCAGCCCCTGCTGCCCCCTCGGGGCCGGGCCCATCCGTCCTAACCCCGTCCTGTGACATCTCCTGTGGCATCCCATCCCGTCCCAGCGTGTCCCAAACCATGCTGTTATGTCCCATCCCATCCCATCCCGTCCCCATCCCATCCCCATCCCATCCCCATCCCATCCCCATCCCATCCCCATCCCATATCCCCATCCCATATCCCCATCCCCTTATCCCATATTCCCATCCCCATCCCATCCCCATCCCCATCCCTATCCCCATCCCATCCCCATCCCCATCCCATCCCCATCCCCATCCCTATCCCCATCCCATCCCCATCCCCATCCCATCCCCATCCCATATCCCCATCCCCATCCCCATCCCATCCCCATCCCCATCCCATCCCCATCCCATATCCCCATCCCCATCCCATATCCCCATCCCCATCCCTATCCCATCCCCATCCCACCCCATATCCCAATCCCATATCCCCATCCCATCCCCATCCCCATCCCGTCCCCATCCCCATCCCATCCCCATCCCATCCCCATCCCATATCCCCATCCCCATCCCCCCCCATATCCCAATCCCATATCCCCATCCCATCCCCATCCCCATCCCCATCCCCATCCCGTCCCCATCCCCATCCCCATCCCATCCCCATCCCGTCCCCATCCCCATCCCCAATCCCATATCCCCATCCCATATCCCCATCCCCATCCCATATCCCATATCCCCATCCCATCCCCATCCCATCCCCATCCCATATCCCCATCCCCATCCCATCCCCCATATCCCCATCCCATATCCCCATCCCCATCCCATCCCCCATATCCCCATCCCATATCCCCATCCCCATCCCATCCAGGCCCCATATGCAGCAGCAGCCCCCGCCACGTGGCCCCGTTCCTGTTCCCAACCCCGGGGCCCCCTGGCACAGGGTGACAATGGGGGGAAGTCGGTGACACCGAGCGTGGGGACGGGCAGGAAACCATTTGGTCTGCGGAAAAAGGGAGGGGACGGGGAGGGGGGGGGGACACACAGGACGAGGCAGCATCCCGGCACCGCTGCGGTGCTGAAACAGGGGCACAGCCCCTCGGGTCCGGTCCCATCCGTCCTGACCCCGTCCCGTTACATCTCCTGTGTCATCCCATCCCGTTCCAGCGTGTCCCAAACCATGCTGTCATGTCCCATCCTGTCCCATCCTATTCATCCCACCATATCCCATCCCATCCCATCCCCATCCCCATCCCCATCCCCATCCCATCCCCATCCCCATCCCATCCCCATCCCATCCCATCCCCATCCCCATCCCATCCCCATCCCCATCCATCCCATCCCCATCCCATCCCCATCCCATCCCATCCCATCCCATCCCATCCCCATCCCATCCCTCCCCATCCCCATCCCATCCCCATCCCCATCCCATCCCATCCCATCCATCCCCATCCCCATCCCATCCCCATCCCCATCCCCATCCCATCCCATCCCCATCCCATCCCCATCCCATCCCATCCCCATCCCATCCCCATCCCCATCCCCATCCCGATTCCATCTGTCCAGGCACTCTGGCACGGCCACCACTGTGGGGCCAAAAAGCTCACGCTGCCCTGCGGGGCCAGGCCTGGCAGGAACAGTTTTTTGGCAGCCCCGGTCCAAAAAGCGTGGGTAGGAGCAAACGAGGAAGCCGTGATGCAAAACCCAGCGCTGCCCCGCTCAGCAGCTGCCCTCCTTGCAGCCCCGTGCACCCCGGTAACTCCTCGCCAGGCTGCTATGGGGGCACCCCAGCTGGGTGAGGTAGGGTGGAGGGATCTGTAGGGTGCACGGGGGGGGCTCCACACCCACCACCGCAGCATTTGTGCACGGTAAAAGTGAGCTCCCGGAGGTGCAGGGATAATTTTGTGCGAAACCGAGGTCTGCGTCCAGATATCGGGGGAGAAAAACCTTAAAAACACCACCCCCAAAAGCTGAGCACCAGCACACGCAGCAGCCCCAGAGCCGCGCTGAGCGGCGCTCTCCAAAACGTGGCTCCTGGGATGTTGGGCACGGACACTAAGGGATGGGAGCAGCCCTTGCTGGGCTCGTGGAGTTCTCCAGTTCTGCAAAACAGCTGGAAAAACGCTGATAAATAACAGCCAGGCGCAAAACACCTGGAAAAACGCTGATAAATAAGGCGCAGGGCGAGTGCGTGCGGTCATCGCGGAGAGAAACGCGGAGGCTGGGCGAGGGGAACGCGCTCACTCACCCCACACGGGCTTCAGAATGGGAACACTGTATTGCCAGACTTTACAAAAAGTTCTTACAAAACACAGTCACAAACCAGCAGCCGACGAATACAACAGCGGAAGAGACACTGCTTACAAGTCACCTGGGGAACAACACCACCGAGCTGCGAGAGAATTCGACCGATATTTACAGAGACGCCTGAAAAACTGCGGTAAAGTCGCCTCAAACATTTAAGTGTTTTAGTTCAACAGTGAAGTATAGTGCCACACGTTTCCTTGTATCATCATAATAATAATAATTAGAATAATAATAATAATTACACTACTTCTAGATTAACTAAAAACCAAACAGCTCTTTACAGGGGTTAGGAGAAGTTCCTTTCGTTTGCCTGACTTACCTGAGTGTGAGACCAAACCCAGTTAAAAAATAAAAGAGTAAAATCACCTTCATGGACAAGATTTCCTAGAACAGACCAGCGGCGCCGTCAGGAAACCGCGGCCTGACTGGTGCGAGCAACATCCTTCAAAAAAACAGAGACATCCCCTCTCCGGGTCAGGTACCCGGGGTGCCTCCGTGCGCCCACGCGCCGCCCTCCCGGCTCCTCCTGCCCCAATGTCCTCAGCCCTTCCTCCTTCGCCTCCTTCACCTTCTTTTTCTCACCTTGCTCTTGGCCGCTCTCCCCTCTCTGCTTTTCTGCCTCTTTTTTTTCTGAGCCGTGCCCCTAACCACCTCCCCGCTTCGCCTCTCTTTCCCTGGCCCCCCTCGCGGCACGGGGCCGCTGTTGGAGGTGCGCCAGGCTCCCCGCCCTCCCTCCAGCCCCGCGGTGAAAACGAGTGGAAAAGAACGAAAAGCCAAAAGCTCGTCACTCCTGAAGATGCACGACGATAGGTGGGGGAACACCTGCTAAATACAGACCCCCAGAGAAGCTCTCGGGAGCCTTCCCGACAGGCAATAATCCGAACCTGCACGGGGGACAACAAGCGCGAGGCCGGCACCGCCGTGGAAGTCCCACGTCACCCCACGGAGGGGCTCAAGAGGTGCCCAGGCCTTCGTGTTTTGAAGTTTTGTTTTGTTTTTTGTTTTTTTTAAGAGGAATTCCTACGATGCTTCGACAAAGCGGGCTTGGTAGCACGACCACATGGATGAGCTGCGATCCAAGTTCACCTCCCATGGCGCCGCCACCTCCACCGGCTGGACCGTATCGTCACCGCGAGCCCTCCCTCCCGCCCGGCCATCCCCGCGCGGCGCTACTGCTTCGTCTCTTTTTTCAGGCAGAAGTGGCCCGTCTGCGTGGCCGACTCCAGGTTGTGCTGCGCCTCCTCCATGGGCCGGGGGTTGCGGGAGTGGATTTTCTGGTGGCAATTCAGGGACTCCTTGTAGCGAAAGTGCTTCCCGCAGACGGGGCACTGGTAGGGGGTCTCCCCGGTGTGCACCCGCCAGTGCTTGAGGAGGTGGTCCCGTCGGATGAAGCTCTTCCCGCACTCGGTGCACTGGTAGGGCCGCTCCCCCGTGTGGATGCGCTGGTGCCGGATGGCTTTGGAGAGGTCTCGGAAGTCCTTCCCGCAGTAGGTGCAGGTGAGCGGCCCGTCGCCTTTCCCCGTGTGGAGCTTCTGGTGCAAGATGAGGCTGACCTCCAGGCTGAAGCTCTCCTTGCACTGCGAGCAGGTGTACGGCCTCTCCACCATGTTGTTGGCCTGGTGCCTGACGAAGCCGTACTTGAAAGCCGAGCCCTTCTCCGAATCGGCGCGCTTGGACGCCTTGGAGCGGGCCGGGCCCTGGCCTTTCGGAGAGCTTTTGGATTTCGGCCTGAAGCTCTCCCCGGGCTCCAGGGACGTGCAGGCTTCCTCCCCCGCGTGCGCTCGCTGATGGGCAGCGAAGAGCTGCTTGTCCAGGAAGCTCTGCCCGCACTCGCAGCAGATGTAGGGCCCCTCCACGGCGGCCGCTTCCTCGGGAGCATCCTTTTTGGCCAAGTCTCTCCCGCGGCGAGCCGAGCGCCTCAGCCCGTTGCCCGTGGCGGCTCTCTGCTGCGGGGTCGAGCCGCCCCGGCTCTTGCCGCTCGGCTTCGTCACCTCTTCCTCCGGGTTGGAGAAAACGTCCTCCCACTTCCCCGCCAACGAGCTGGGGAGCTCGAGGCTGTCAGGACCTTCCTCCTCGCACTGCTGGGCATCTGATGGGGCAGAGACACGCATGTCAGTGCTTTGGGATAAGAACGGACGCGTTATTTAGACTGCGATTCTTTTTTTTTTGGGGGGGCAGAGGTGGCGGCTGCTTTGTGCACCCAGGAGGGTTCCTGGCACTACAGGGCTGCAAGCCCTGAGCGGGAGCTGTCTGAGCAGTGCTGCGGTACAAATAAAGCCCAAATGTGATGACTGCTGGGGAAAGCTCAGACGCTGTGATGGTGAGACCTCTCTATTTAGCTCGGCAAAGAGAAAAAGCAGGTTTCTCGGCAAGAGGTGAGCCAGAACAGGTCACTGAGGGCGTGTGGTACAGGATAAAGGCAAAAAATAATAAAAATAAAAGAAAGGAGAGAGGGAGAGAGAGAAAGAAGGGGGATAAAACCTCTTTTTCTTCTGCGCTTCTATGTTGCCTAGGCCTGGGGGCTGAACGATCTCCTGTGATATAAACGGTAACTCAAAGCTCCTGCCAAGGACCCTGGCAAACAGAGGATGAAAAGAGCACGGAGGATCTGGGGGTACAGAGGAAAAGCCCGAAAAAGCCACAGGTTTCTGCAGAGCGCGCGGAGGTAGAGGCATGCCCAGCGCCTGCGTGCACAGAGCAGCCCGCTCAGCGCTCCCTGTCTCGCCGCTTGCTCGTCCCTTTGCCAAATTTGTCAAGGTGCAGTTTGAAAATGGAGCCGATCGGTACAGATCGGGCTGAAATTCTGGAAAAGCACCAGCCAGAGCAGTTGGGCTGCTGGCGAGGACGAGGCCAAGAAACCAGACACGTCCCAGCAGGACGCGCTTCCCCAAGCGGCTTACGCGTTCCCGAGCTTCAAAGCAGGGACCTGGGGGTGACAGGCAGCGACAAGGACGTGTCTTCTGCTGCGCCACAAAGCCTGACATTTGGCTGACACAGGAAGCTGGGAAAAATATCACTTTACATCCGCGTGGAAGCCTTGGGAGAACACTGCAGCTAACGCCAGCGAAGCGTGCCCGCGCTACGCCTGCTCCAGCCCGTCTCCACCTCGCCAAGCGATCTGACCCCGTGTGGGTGGCCCGTGCCCCCCTGGGGACCCCTCAGCTGCTTGTGTTTCGGAGCTCCTCCTGCACCCGTGCCCATCCGTCTGCAAGGGCTGAGGTCCAGCTCCACGCTGAGCCCGAGGAGAAGCTGGCAGAGACTGCGGTGACAGCAGGGTCTCACGCGGGGAATGTCCCCAAGCAGAGCCAGGAGCCCGAGCCCGCCTCTCTCTGCCCCTCTGCCACTCCACCTGGGGGAAGTTTCCAACTCACATGTACTGGGGGCCTCCATGCTCTCCTCTCCCTCGGAGCCATCGTGACTTTCAGCCAGAGTCTCCTCGTATTTACCCCACGAGCTGTCGTCGGGACCAGGGAAGGAAAATTCTGCGCACAGAAGGAAGGACAGCGTGAGTTTACGCTCACACCTTATGGGGGATTTCGGGAACGACGGCAGCAGCGGGTAGGAGCCGACGAGGAGGGCAGAAGCAAGGAGAAGAGCACAGAGAGCTGCTTTCCATCACCCCACCGGCTCCCGGGAACTTTCTGGCTCACCGGTGCTGGGGTCCGTGGGGGTTTCTCCTCCCTCAGAGTCATCCTGGTCCTCGGTGTTGGGATCCTCTCCCTGCTCGATCCGCGACAGGAGGTCGGGTTTGGAAATGGCGGTGTCTGCGTGTAAAAAAGGGATCAGAAGGTTTCCTTCGCCCGGCGGGACGGAGACTCCTCAACCTTTGCCCACCAACCTTCCTTCGCTGCTGGGGAGGACGGGGAATGGAAGCAGAGGCTTTGGGAAGATGCTCTCCCACACCTGCACCCGCTCACCTTGTCTGCGCCCTGGGGACATGAGCGGACTGCAGGAGCACACTCTGCTCAGGTGAGGAGCACCTCCCAGCCTGCAGCGTGAGGAGGAGAATAAGAAAATGCATCTGTGCTTACCTCCAGGCTTCCTCTCTTCTCCTCTGTGCTAAGGTCCGCGGATCCATTGCAATGGGAGCTTCAGCTTGGGGACAGAACCAGAGCTGTCAGCCAGCGGCAGCAGCGGAGGTGCCCTCCCCACACGGTTCCCTCCGGCCCCGGATTGCCACAGCCAGAACCGTTCCTTCCTACTCGTCCGAGGCACAGGCTGCTTGTGGATTTTGGTGCGGGAAAGGGGAAAATCGCAATCTCTCCTAGCAGGGAGAGCGGAAAACTTAATTTCGAAACAACAAGCGTTTGTCTCTGGGCATTCATTTCCACCACTGCGCTACTGGATCCGTTAGCCTTATGCGAGGACCTCGCCTCCAAACCCGGTTACTCAAACCAAGGAAACCTTCAGATTAAGCACAGATACATTTTTCTAAGCTCCAGGCTCAGACCCACAGATCCCTTCCAGCAGGACCGTTCCTGTGCACCCAGAGGAGGATGCAGGATTGTTTTTTTAAACAGGAGAACGGGGGCAGTATTTATCCTTTACCTTTTTTCCTTTGCGCACAAGAACCGTCTACGTGATTAAAAAAGAATGAAAAAAAAACAAAAAGGAAGAAAAACAAGAAAAAAATGATGAAAGGCCCTGGATCGCCCAGGCCTGGAGGGCGGGATGGTTGTCTACCGGGGATGTCAGTGCTCCCAGGTGCTGCAGGAGGATGCTCAGCCAAGGCAAAGAGCATTTTGCAAAACACAGGCAGGTGCTGCGAAACCCTGGTGAGGGCAGCACGCCTCCAGAGGTGCAGCACAGGGCATGGCCCACAGCCAGCACTGCAAGGCGCCCGCGGGGCACGATCCTGCAGCCTTGAACGCGCTGCCCCGAGCCCTCCTGGAGAGCTGCAGAAGCTGACATTAAAACATTTGGGGACAGAGACGTTCCCCGGCACCAGGCTGGGGCTGGGCAGAGCGCTCAGGGTGGACAAACCTCACCCTGCTTCCTCTGGGCTGGAGGGGGATGGAGGATCCCCTACAAATAGGGGTGGAAGGAACCCGAGGCAGGGCACCCCCCTGCTGCTTGCTCTCGCCCCAAGCAGCAGCGCGCTGATGCCCCCAGCGCAGTGGATCTGTGGACCTTTGCGGGACCAAGAAACTCCCCGTTCTCCCCATCGTCGCTGGGCTCGAGGGTCTCTCGCTTCCCCTCCTCGCTACCCAAGTCCTCGCCCAGCTCCTACCGGCCACGGAGACCGTCAGCGAGACGGGGTCACCGCGGTGCTGCTCACACCTCGTGCGCCTAGCACCACGAGGAGCCGTCAGGAGCCAGCACAACCCCTGACCAGACCCCTCTCATCACCCCCCCTCCCCGATCCGCCGGGCACAGCCTGGCCCTGGAAGACCTGGGACACCAGCAAGCGAGGAGGAAAACCCCAGGCAGATTTTTACCCATGGAGATCACGGCCTCGTAGTTGCCTTTCATGATGTGCCTGTAGAGCTCTTTCTGCCACTCGTTCAAGTTCTTCCACTCCTCCTCCGAGAAGCTAAACGAAGCGTCACTGAACGCCACGGGGACCTGCAATTAGAAGCCAACGTATGCTCGGCTGTTTTGCCTCTTGCTGAAGACAACATCTGGGGATGTTTCCTCATTCACACTCCCACACGTCTCGTTCCTGCCCCGTGCCTCGGCTCAGGCAGCCCGGCGAAGGGACGTGGTGGGGTTTTCCCCCATTATCTGCCCACCCCTCGTGCCCTATTTGCCCTCCCGGTGCTGCAGGCAGCGCTTCTTGCTGGGCACGGGCTCCTTCCTCACTTTATTTTTGCTGCAATTCTGCCGAAACCACCTCCAAAGAGGAACTGGGCGCGCTGGGCAGGCACGTGGGGCTGAGCCACACCGCGCTCGGCGTGATCCCAGCACCATCCACAGCGGGGGATCCACGGCCCCACAATGGGTTTGAGCACCACGGATGGGTGCTGGGGGGCACGTAACCACCCAAAAGGACCCAAAAAGCCCCAAAATGACCCAAAAGGATCGAAAAGGACTCAGTGAGCAGACAAGCCCTGTGGTGCTGGGCTGATCCACACCACTGCTGTCCTTCAACTGGGTTGATGGTGTGGGCTTCCGTGCCCCGTATAGGGGTGGGGGAAGCAGCACGGGGGGCAGCGGACCCCGTTACCTTGGGGACCTCCCCTTTGGCACCGGGGGGCAGGCGGAGGATCCAGAAGTTCCTGTTCCTCAGCAGGTTCTCCATGTTCTCCAGGCGCTTCTGCAGCTGCCCGTACTCCTGGATGAGGGTGCCCAGCGCCGTCCACTTGCTCTCCAGCTGGTTGCCGAACTCCACCGCCGTCTTCTCGCAGCCGATCAGCTTGGTCTCGGCCATCCTCATCCGGCCCTCCAGGTTCATCAGCTGGGCCGCCTGCGCGTCCACCTTCCTGTCCACCGCCTGCACCTCGGTCACCAGCGTCAGGGACAGCTCGGCGGTGGCCGGCAGCTCGGCCTCGCCACCGGGCCCCTCCTCGGGGGCTGCCAGGGGCTGCTCCAAGGCCAGCTCCTGGGGCTCCATGGCCCACTCCAGGTCCTGGGGGGATAAGGAGGGGGACGAGGCCGAGCTTGGCACCGCTGTGGGCACCCCTAGAGGGGGGGGATTTTTTTTTGGGGGGGTGGGAAGCGGGTGCTTACCTGCGCGGGGGCCCAATCGGCCATGGCCCGTCGGGGGGCGGCGGAGGGGAGAAGGAGAGAGGGGGGTGAAGGGGGGTGAAGGGCGTCCAGGGGGGGGTCTGGGGGTGTCCAAGGGGGGCGGCAGCGTCTCAGCAGCGGCGGCTTAGGGCGGGCAGCGCGGCCATGCCGAGAGCGCGGCGCACGCTGGGAGACGAGGAGGAGGAGGAGGAGGAGGAGGAAGGGGAGGAAGGGGAGGAGGAGGAGGAAGAGGAGCAGCGACCCCTGGTGGGGATGGGGGGAGGTGGGGGGGTGCGGCTCCAGGCGGTGGGGGGGGTGGGGATGGGGTGGGAGACGGTGGTGAGGCTGCAAAACGGTGCTGCGGCTGCAAACGCTGCAATTGCAAACGGTGTGGCTGCAAACGCTGAAACTGCAAACGCTGCGACTGCAAACGCTGAAACTGCAAACGCTGCGACTGCAAACGCTGAAACTGCAAACGCTGCAATTGCAAACGGTGTGGCTGCAAACGTTGCAACTGCAAACGCTGCAACAGCCAGCACTGCAACTGCAAATGGTATAGCTGCAAGCGGTGTGAATTGCAAGCACGGCAATGCCCGGCACTGCAACACCCAGGGCTGTGACACCTCGCTAACACCTCGCACTGCAACGCCAAACGTTGCAACAGCCGGCACTGTAACTGCAAATGGTGTGGCTGTAAGTGGTGTGAATTGCAAGCACTGCAATTGGAAGGTGTGTGGCACTCGGCACTGCAACAGCTGATGCTGCACAAGCCAGTGCTGAAACTGCAAATGGTGCGACACCCGGCACTATGACACCCGGTGCTGTGACTGCGAATGGAGTGACAGATGGTGCTGCAACACCCGGCACTGCAAGTGTGAACACTGCAACAGCCAACACTGCAACTGCAAGCAGTGTGACAGCCGGTACTGCAACACCTAGCAGTGCAACAGCAAATGCTGTGACTGTAAACACTGTGACACCCAGCACTGCAACACCCGGTGCTGCAACTGCAAACACTGCAACAGCCGACACAGCAACTGCAAATGGTTTGGCTGCAAGCGGGGCAAAACCTGTCACTGCAACAGCCAACACTGCAAAACCCCGCGCTGCAACTGCAACCACTGCAACGCCCAGTGCTGCAACACCACACACTGCAAAGCCTGGCACTTCGACAACAAATGCTGCAACAGCCAACACTGCAGCTGCGAGCAGTGCTGCTGCAAGCGGTGTGAATTGCAAGCACTGCAATTGTAAGCTGTGTGACACCCGGCACTGCAACAGCTGACACTGTAACTCCCAGTGCTGCAATTGCAAACAGTGCAACACCCAGCACTGCGACACCTGGTGCTGCAACTGCAAACGGTGCAGCTGAAAACACGGTGACACCCAGAACTGCAACACTCAGCACTGCAACTACAAACACTGCAACAGGCAACACTGCAACACCCGACACTGCAACATCTGTCGCTGCAACCGCAAATGTTACAGCTGTAAACGGCGCAGCTGCAAGCAGTGCAAATTGCAAATGGCGCAACACCCGGCACCGCAACAGCCAACACTGCAAAACCCCACACTGCAACTGCAAACACCCACCGCTGTAACACCTCACACTGCAACACCAAACAGCGCAACACCCAGCGTTGCAACACCCAGCACTGCAACAGCAAACACTGTGACTGCAAATACTGTGACACCCAGCACCACAACACCCAGCACTGCAACACCCAGCGCTACATCAGCAAGCACTGCAACACCTGACACAGCAACAGCAAACACTGCAACACGCAGTGCTGCAACTGCAAACCCTGCAAGAACCAACACTGCAACTGCAAACAGTGTGGCTGCAAACTGTGCAAATTTCAGGCACTGCATTTGCAAGTGGTGGGACACCCAGCACTGCAACAGCCAACACTTCAAAACCCAGCGCTGCAACTGCAAAAGTCGGCACTGCAACACGTGACACTGCAACTACAAACACAGCAACTGCAAGGACTGCAACACCCAGCACTGCAGCTGCAAACACTGCAACTGTAAGCACTGCAACACCTGGCACTGCAAGAACAAACACTACAACACCCATCACTGCAACACCTGGCACTGCAACAGCAAATGCTGCGACTGCAAACACCGTGACACCCAGCACTGCAACACCCATCACTGCAACACCCAGTGCTCAAACTATTGCATGTGCTGCACCCAGCACTGCACCCACTGCAACACCCAGCACTGCAGCACCCAGCGCTGCACCTATGCTGCATGCTGCACCCACAACTGCAACACCCAACACTGCACCTGCTGCACCCAGTACAGTGACACTGCACGCAGCACTGCACCCACTGGAACACCCAGCACTGCACCACCCAGTGCAGTGCCCACTGCAATGCCCAGCACTGCATGCACTGCACCCAGCACTGCAGCACCATTCTCCCCCCATGGGTTCGTCACTGCTGGCACCGTCACCAGCGGCTCCCCACCACGGAGCCCTCGTGGTTGGCACCCGCAGACCCTGCTCTGATGTCCTAGCACCTTGCTGATGTCATCTCACACATGACATCTGACTGCTGATGTCACCCCGCACAGATCTGATGTCACCCCCCGCTGCTGATGTCACACAACGTCACCATGATGCCGCAGAACCCCAAAACGGCCGAGGTTGGAAGGGACGTCTGAAGGTCACCCGGTCGTCACTCTGATCGCTCTGATGTCATCCCACATCCCTGTGGTGTCACCCGGACAGCTCTGACGTCATCCCAGAGCGCCGTGACGTCACCCACCCCGCTCTGACATCACCCCGCGGTGCTCCGGTGCCATCTCACACCCCGCTCTGATGTCACCACGCACCCCTGTGACGTCACCCACACCGCTCTGACGTCATCCCAGAGCGCCATGACGTCACCCACACTGCTCTGACGTCACCCCACAGAGCTCTGACGTCACCTCACACCCCTGTGACGTCACTGACACCTCTCTGACGTCATCCCAGAGCGCCGTGACGTCACCCACACCTCTCTGACGTCATCCTAGTGCGCTGTGACGTCACCCCACACCACTCTGATGTCACCTCACATACCTGTGACATCACCGACACCTCTCTGACGTCATCCTAGTGCGCCGTGACGTCACCCACACCGCTCTGACGTCACCTCACACACCTGTGATGTCACCCACACCTCTCTGACATCATCCCAGAGCGCCGTGACGTCACCCCACACAGCTCTGATGTCACCTCACACCCCTGTGACGTCACCCACACTGCTCTGACGTCATCCTAGTGCGCCGTGACGTCACCCACACCTCTTTGACGTCACCTCACACCCCTGTGACGTCACCGCTATCACGCCCAGCCCTCTGACGTCACCCCCACCCCGTGACGTCACCCAACCCCCTGACGTCACCTCCCAGGCCCCTCCCCTCCCTTTAGCCCCGCCCCCCCAGCACGCGCCGCTCCCGCCCCGCCCCCAGAGCCGGGCCCCGCCCCTCCCATCCCCTCATTGATTGGCAGGCGGCTCAGCCAATCAGCGCGGCGCTTTTCGGCCCAGTGGGCGGGGCGAACGGGGCGGGGCGGGGCGCGCGCTCCCGGTGCGGGCAGCGGGGGCGCGCGGGGCGGCGGCAGCGGCGCGGGAGGGGCCGGGACCGGCACCGGCACCGGGACCGGGGCCTGGCGAGCCTCTCCCCGCCGCCCTCCATCCCCGTGCCCCCCCCGTGCTCAGCCGTTACCGGCAGCCCCCCCCCAGCAGGGCCCGGCATCACGGCGGCCGTGTCGCCCCCCGAGCGGAGGAGGCCCCGCGGGCACCGGGCCGGAGCCATGAAGGAGGGCCGCGAGCGCCTCGTTGCTTTGGGTAAGGCACCGGGGGGGGGGGGGCTCGGTGCCGGTGGGGGACGGTGGCACCCAGCTGGACCCCCCCCGGTCCGTAGCCCCCCAGCTCGTAGCCCCCCGGCACGTAGCCCCCCGGTACATAGCCCCCCGGTACATAGCCCCCTGGCTCGTAGCCCCCCGGTACGTAGCCCCCGGCACGTAGCCCCCCGGCACGTAGCCCCCCGGTACGTAGCCCCCCGGTCCGTAGCCCCCCGCTACGTAGCCCCCCGGCACGTAGCCCCCCGGTACGTAGCCCCCCGTCACTAGCCCCCCTGGCTCGTAGCCCCCCTGGCTCGTAGCCCCCCGGCACGTAGCCCCCGGCACGTAGCCCCCCGGTACAGTAGCCCCCCAGGTACGTAGCCCCCCCTGTCACGTAGCCCCCCGGCACGTAGCCCCCCGGCACGTAGCCCCTGGTACGTAGCCCCCGGCATGTAGCCCCCTGGTATGTAGCCCCCTGGTCGTAGCCCCCCGGTCTGTAGCCCCCCGGCTCGTAGCCCCGGCTCGTAGCCCCCTGGCATCGTAGCCCCCGGCTCGTAGCCCCCCGGCAAGCCCTTCCCATGGTGAACGGGGCTGGGGTGGCACCGGGGACGAGGGAGCTCAGGGACAGGCTTCCCGTAGGAAAACGGGCACCACGGTAAGGTGTCGGGCCAAATCCTGCAGGATTCGCACGATTTTGCCCCAACGCATCCATGTTTCCGCAGGGGAATGGCTGGGCACGAAGACGAGGAGCGAGGAAGGTGACTCGGAGCCCGGCACGGTGCCACCGCAGGAGCAAGGCTGCGGCCACGGCGGCGTCGCCGAACCGAGCCCCGGTGCGGGTGACGGGGGCTTCGTCCCCCCACCGGTGTTCACCGAGACCCCCGGCACGCAGCGGGGGCGGCCGCAGCACGAGTGCACCGAGTGCGGCTTCGGCGCCGAGCAGAAGCTGGAGCTGGTGCGGCACCCGCTGGCACGCGCCGCCGCCTGCCCCTACGTCTGCGGTGCCTGCGGTCGGGGTTTTGGCCAGCGCGGTGGTCCCGCGGCACGGCTGGCCGGAGCCCCCCCCGGTGCCAGCGGGTGCGCCGGGACGGAGGTGGGGGCACCCCGCAAAGAGCGCAAGGAGCTGTCGCTGACGGAGAAGGTGCGGGTGCTGGAGATGCTGGACGGCCCCAAGGTGTCGCAGAGCGAGCTGGCCAAGCGTTTCGGGGTGTCGCAGCCCCAAATCTGCCGCATCATCAAGAACAAGGAGCGGATCCTGAGCGAGTGGCACCACAACAGCAACCCCGAGCGCAAGCGCAAGCGGGAGGGCAAGGACGTGGCCGTGGAGGCCGCGTTGCTGCGCTGGGTGGAGAGCGCCCGCGCGGCCGAGCTCCCCGTCAGCGCCCCGCTCCTGCAGGTCAAGGCCAAAAACCTGGCCGAGGCGCTGGGCAAACCGGGCTTCGAGCCCAGCGGCAACTGGCTGGCCCGCTTCAGGCTGCGCCACAACATCGCCCTGGAGAAGCCGCCCCGGGAAAGGGGGGACGCGGAGCAGCCCGGGGCCGAGCGCTGGAGCAGCGCGGTGCTGCCCGAGCTGCTGCGCAGCTACGCGCCCTCCGAGGTGTACAGCTGCGGGGAGACGGGGGTCCTCCTGCACACCCCGCTGGCCGAGGAGGATGAACCAGCCGGCCCCGGCGGGCGGCTGACGCTGCTGCTCTGCGCCAACGCCGACGGCACGGAGAAGGCGGCGCTGCGGGTGGTGGGGCAGAGCCCCCGGCCCCGCTGCCTGCGCGGCGTTAACCTGCAGCACATGCCCTGGAGCTACCGCGCCAGCGGCCAGGCCCTCCTGACCGCCCCGCTCTTCGCCGAGTGGCTGCAGGACTTCAACGAGGAGATGCGGCGCAAGGGGAAGAGCGTCCTGCTGCTCCTCGACCGGCGCCAGGCGCACCCCTACCTCGAGCTCTCCAACGTCAGGATGGTTTTCGTGCCCCCCACCGCCGCGCTGGCACAACCCCTGGACCGCGGCATCGCCCGGGACCTGAAGGGCCACTACCGGCGCCGGCTGCTGACGCGGCTCCCGGCGGCGCGTGGCTCGGAGCAGCCGAGCCTTTTGGATGCCCTGCACATGTTGGTGCAAGCCTGGGGTGACGTGCGCCCGGGGCTCATCGCCAGCTGCTTCCGCGCCGCCGGCTTCAGCCCCGACGCCAGCCCCGACACGCTGCTGGCACCCGTCCGCTTCGGCCAGGAGCAGATCGAGCGCTTCGTGCTGATGGACGAGGGGCTGGAGCGCCTCGGGGAGCCGGCAGATGCCGAAACGGCCGAGGTGGCGGACTGGGACGGGGGGACGGTGGAGGGCGAGGATGCTGGGGAGATGGTGGTGGCACAGCCTTGCCCCTCGCAGCCCGAGGTGTGGGACAGCCTGGCCACGCTGCGGCGGTACCTGGAGTGCCGGGCCACCTCCCCGGACCTCTTCCAGGCTTTCTACGCGCTGGAGGACGCCGTGCACGCCTTGTCCACCAGCTCTGGGCGAGCCCTGCACGGGGACGCTTGCGCCAAGCCGTGAGCTGGGCACGTTCTCAGCCTGCGGCTTTGCGAGCTGGGGCAGCAGCAGCAGCACCCGGTGCCACCGCGGAGCTGCCCCGGGTGGGCTTCACCCCAGGGTGGGGGGACGTTGCGTTGGATGGAGTGGAACGAGGGTGATGCTGCTGTGTTGGTGGTGTCCCCGCGCCCGGAGGATCCATCCCGCGTGGCCCCACGAGGGGCTGGAGCAGGCGATCCCGGGGAGCAGGGGGCTGGAGCCCGGAGATCTGCAACGGGTGCATTAAAGCGGAGCGTCAGCAAACCGCAGAGCGGGTGGCGTTTGTCGTAATTTAGCACAATTTCCAGCGCAGCAATTAGCAAAGCTCCCCACCGAGCGCCTCCGGGCTGGGGTTTTGCTGCCCACAGCAGCGGTGCCACCCCCCAGCCTCCCTTTGTCCTGTCACCCCGGGCTGGGGACATGGGCTGCCCGTCCCAGCGGCACTGAGGCTGCTCCCCAAACCCCGCAGATGGCACCCATGGGTGCCCTGGGGGTCCCCTACACAGCCCCCCCATGTGTGCAGGTCCCCCAAGAACCCCGTCGCCAGCACGGGGACGCTGCCATCCCCTCCTGCACCAGGATCCAGGAATTGGGATGGGACGGGGCTGTCCCCACAGCTCTGGGGCACCCCAGGGAACCTCATGCCCCCCACCCTGCCAGCACCCTGGTGGGGGTCCCCACTGGGACCCAGGGAAAGGCTCAGCCCCAGCGTTAAGAGGTCAAACTGGTAAAGGGCACCTTGATCCCAGTACAAACTGGGTCCTGCTGGGTTATTGCCCCCAAAAGTGATGCTGGTGGGGACATGGATGGGGGCCGGGCAGCACGGGGAGAGCTCAGTGTGGGGCAGTGTCTGCAGAGGGATATGGGGGGGGGGGTCACGGGGTGTTTTGGGCAGGGGGAGCCCCTTGGGACACAAATGGGGCAGGGGGCTTGAGGTGCCCACTGGGGTTCCCGGGGCAGGGGGCTCGAGGGCACCCATTGGGGTGCGGTGAGCAGGGTGGGCAATGGGGTTTGGGGGTGTGGGGGCAGCTGGCCCAGGCAGAATTTATTGGGGTGCACCGGGGGGGTCCCCTGGAGTACCACGGGTTAAGGGGGTACCCCTGGGGGTGCAGTGGGCAGGATGCACCCGGGTGATTTTGGGGTGTATGGGGTGGGGGGGGTAAGGGGCACCCTCTGCATTGCATGGGGTGGGTGCAGGGTGCCCATTGGGGTGCTCAGTAGGTTCGCCCAGGGGTACCTGTGGGGGGGGCACAGGGTGAAAGGGGGGGGGACATGGGGCTGCGAGCAGCACTGGGGGTCTTGGGATGGGGTGCAATGGGCAGGAAGGACGGGGAGGTGCCCATTTGGGGGCTGGGGGGGGGGTGCCCGGGCCCCCCAGGGGTGCAGGGGCAGCGTGTGCTGGGGGGGCATCCATCGGGGTGCAGTGGCACACGGGGGGGGGACAAGTGGCACAAGGGGGTGCACGGGGAGGGTCTTTGGGGTGCAAACAGCACGAGGGGGGTGCAAACAGCACCGGGGGGGGTACAAACAGCACCGGGGGGTGTGAACAGCACCGGGGGGTGCAAACGGTGCTTGGGGGGGGGGTCCCAGGGATCCCGGGGGGGGGGTCACACATGGATGCCCAAGGACTGGGGCGCATTGGGCACCCCGGGGGGTGCGGGGTCAGCACCGGGGGGGTACAAGTGTGTGTGTGGGGGGGTGGGGGGGATACCGGGAGACATCGGGGGGGGTGTGGGGGGGGTCCCCAGTACCGGGGGGAGCAAGGGGGGGGGCGGTTGGGGGCAGACGGGTACCGGGGAGGTGCCGGGGACGCGCCGGGGCGCACGGTGCGCATGGCGCAGGGGGGGGGGGGACCCCCTTCGACGTGAACCCCCTTGCTCACAGGTCCCCCCCCCCGTAACCCCCCCCCAGGGTAAGGTCGGGGAGGCTTCATCCGACAGGGGGCGGCCGAGCCGCGGCTCCCCGGGCCCCCGCGCGGCGCCGCTCGGAGGCGGAGGAAATGAAGGCGAGTTCCGCCGAGGCGGGAGCCATTACCCGCCGCCACCGGACCTGAACCTTTCCCCAAACCGGCCCCCACGCCGCTTTCCCCCCCCCCCCCCTACCCCTTTCCCCCTTCCCCTTTCCCCGTTTCCCCCCCCCCTCCCCATTGCAAGCCCGGCTCGGTACAGGTAGGCTCCTCCTTGCATGCCCCTGCGGGGAGAAACCCTTAAAGGGGGGTGGGGGGAAAAAGCTTAAGGTTGCACCCCCCCTCGTGCTGGTTGCAGCTTTTGGGGTGGGGGGGGGCCCGGGGGCAGGCACCGGCCCCAACCCCTTTGTCCCCGGTGCCCGTCGGAAGCGCGAACAAAAGGCGCCCGGTGGAGGGCAGGGCGCCGGCTGTGCCCGGTAGCCCCCCCCCCAAAAAACCCCTCCGGCCCCGGGTGCTGCAGCCCCCCCCGATGCAATGAACCGACCCCCCCCCGGGTCGTCCTCACCACCCCCAGCCCCCTGGGGTGAGGCCTTTGAAGGGGGTGCGAGGGGTTGGAGGGGACCCCCGGGGGGCACCCAAGGGTGGGCGCCCAAGTCCGTAGCGGGGGTCCTGGAGATGTTTATAGGGGATGGTTGTTGGGTTGGTTTTTTGGGGGGTTGATTTTTCTGCCCCCCCCAACCCCGTCGGGGGCTGTCCTGAGGTTTTCAGCCCGGCCATGGGATGCTCGGAGGGGACCACGCCGTGGGTTCGTGGTGTGCCCAAGGGCTTTGCCATGGGGACACGAGACCTGCCCCACAGCCAGGGGCCTCACCACGGTGTGCGGGTTTTCTCCGTCCTCTTAGGGCATTCACCGTGGCCAAGGTCTTTGGGGTTGCCCTGTGGCCCGTGCTGCAAGCCTCAGATGTTGGCCGTGGCCAAGGTGTTGCCCGTGGCCTTGAGGCGCTCGCCACGGCCGTGGTCGTCACCCCAGGGCTGTCACCAGGCGCTTTTCGGGGCTCTGAGGTGCTCCCCGTGGCCTTCGCTGGTGTCTTTGCCGTGGCCTTGAGGTGCTTGGCGTGGTGAAGGACTTTGCCGTAGCTCCAAGGCTCCCTTGATGGACCTGAGAGGTTCACCATGGCCAAGGCCTTCACCGCGGTGCTCACCGAGGCCCTGAGGCTCCCACCACAGACAAGATCTGTGCCGAGGCCTGCGGCACGGCCAAGGTCCTCACCGTGGCCTTGAGATGCTCACCACAGCCTTCACCACGGCCCCAACACCTGCTTTTTGGCCAGGGTCTTCACTGTGACCCCGAAGCCCTGTCCCGTGTCCCTGGTGCTTTGGCCAAAACCACCTCGCCGCAGCGCTGCGGTGCTCGCCATCACCACGGCCCCCGTTGTGGCCCTGAGGTGCTGCCCCTGGCCAAGGTCCTCACCGTGGCCCAGAAGCAGTTGCTGTGGTGCTGAAGTCGCCGCCGTGGCTCCTGCCACAGCCCCGGGACGCTTGCCAAGGCCACGTCCCGGAGGCGCTCGCCGTGCAGCCAGAGATGCTCACCACGGCCTCGCCGTGCTCCCCATTGCCCTCAACGCGGTGCCGAGGCCTTGAGGCGCTCCCCATCGCCCCGAGGGGCTGCTGCCCCCCCTCAGCGTGGCCCTGAGGCACTCGCCGTGGCCCCGGGGTGCTGGCCCGTGCCACGGTCCCACCGCACACCCCATGACCACGACCCTCTCCGCGGCCCCCCCGTGGTAGCTGGCTGGGGGCCCTGGGTTCCTGTGGTTGGAGAGGGCTGGGGGTCCCCGCTGTCACCTCCCCCCCCCAATGCCATAGGGACCCTGTGGGGTGACGCGCTGCCACCACCCACCGCTGCCCTTTCCTTTTCTCCCCTCCCAGGTGCTCTCGAGCCGGGGCGAGGGGATGAGGTGCCCCCCTGCCGCGTGGTGTGCCGAAGCGGCTCTTTAGATCCTCCCCGGCCCGAGCCTCCCCTGCCATGGATGCCTCGGGGGCTCTTGCTTCGGCTCCCTCCTCCGCGGCTCCCTCGGGCTCCCGCAGCCCCATGTTTCCCCCAGGAGCTGACAGAGAGGAGTGGGGACCGAGGTTCAATTGTGCCCCTTCCACCTCTGCCGCAGCCTCGCAGGCGATGCCAGCATCTGGCCGGAAGAGGAAGGCCAACTTCTCCAATGACGAGACCGAGACCCTGGTCTGGAATGTGGTCCGGCATTTCAGCGCCCTGTACGGGTCTGAAGCCCTGCGGGCTCACCCCGTGCGGCGGAAGCAGCTCTGGACCCAAATCCAAAGCCGCGTCAACTTCCTGGGCTACACCGAGCGCTCCATCGACGACCTCAAGCACAAGTGGCGCGACCTGCGGCTGGACGTCAAGAAAAAGATCACCTCCAAGAAGCACCTGCCCATGAACCGCGCCGGCGGGCCGCTGCACAAGCCGCGCCTCACCCCCCTGGAGAAGATGGTGGCTTCCACCTTCCTGCAGGCCAGCCACGACTCGGAGCCCGAAATCATCCTGGACCCAGGTCAGTCGTGGTGGTTCTCTGGGGACAGGAGAGTTGGAGAGGTTGCAGCCCCCGCCGGAGCTCTTCGAGTGATGCCCGGCTTGGGAACCCCACCGGGCTGCGGTCCCCCCCCCCCCCAGCTCCGGGCTCTGTGCCTGCTGGTGCGGCGTGGATCGTGGAAGATTTGTGGGTTTTGCTCTCTTTACGAGGTTTGTGTCGGGATGACAGCACGCAGCAGGGCTGTGGCCCTATAAAATCTGAAAGCTGGGTGCGCTTGGGTCAAAAACCCACCCTGGAAATAAGCTGGGGGCGACGGGAGCGCCTCAAACGTTTTGGGGTGGGTCTTGGTTTAAAATTCGGTGCGGCGCCTGGCCTTGCTGGGTGCCACCTCAAGGCGGCTGGTAGAAGACGGGATGGGATTTTATTGCCCCTAATATTGTCAGGGATGGTGTCCCTCGTGCTTAGCAGAGGTCAGAGGGAGCGGGAGCAGCTGCGGCGGCACCGAACCGCGCCGTCCTCCCGCTGCGAGGCTTTGGTGCTGTCCAGGAGGCAAAAAAAAAACCCTGCCCTTTAATTTCCTGAAAGGGGATGTTTTTGGCTTCTTTATACCCCAAAGGACACCCCCAGGTAGTTCCTCTGCTTTCCGCCTTTCAGCTCGGCCCATCGGGTGCCAGCGGGGACGGGCGGGCAGCGTGGGTCTCGTTTCGCTTCTGGAGCAGGCTCAGGCTCTCTCTGAACCAAACGCGGTTATTGCAGAGCAAAAAAAGCTCTGGGCTCAAGGCAGAAGCCCTGGGGGGTATTCAGGGGGTGCCAAGTATCCCTGAATACCCCCCAGTCGTGCAGGTAGCCCTGAGGGAAGCACATCGGTGTGACCGTGTCCCCTGTGCCGTGTCACCCCCCTGCACAGTACTCGGGGACCCTTCTCTGGGGGACCCCTGGCTGCCCGTAAAGCCGGGCCAGGCGAGCTGGCGGTGCCGTTGTCGCAGCAGCTGATGCTGGATGCTCTCTGTCCCGCAGATCTCTTCTTCCCCGGCGCCACCAAGCAATCCTTCATGCACCTGCAGCCCGGCGTCAGCCACCCCAGCATCTACATCGACACCAACGGGCAGCCCTCGTCCCTGCCCGACGTGGAGGGCTCCGCCGTGCCCCGCCTGGCGGTGCAGAGCCCGGACCCCTCGGGCATCTGCGAGTACAGCCGAGGGGAAGGGCAGAGCAGTTCGGGTAAGGCTGCTCCGGGGTTTTGTGGGGGGGAGGCTCTCGGCACGGCGCTGGGGTCCCGTGGGTGCTGTGCATTTGCCTCCTGGGCTGCACATCCCAAAGGGTTTCGGGTGCGTGCCTGTGGCAGCGAGCTGCGCTCACGGGAAGGTTTCTCTTCTTTTCTCTTCTCTTTTCCAGCCGAATCGGGACCAGAGCTGCGGACCCCGGACATGACAGCCATTTCCCCGTCGCTGCGCAACGAGTCCCTGGTCTCCTACGCCTCCATGTCGGAGGAGGAGGAACGGGAAGGCCGGGAGGGGGAGAGGGGCCACCACGGCGGGGCCATGGGGCTGCAACCCGGGCCCGAGACCCCGATGCCCGCGGAGGAGGACATGAAGCTGTCCCGCCAGGCCATGCTGATCCGCCGCTGCAGCTCCCAGGGCTCCGTCACCTCCCTGCCCGAGGACCCCCTCAACCCCGTGGACGCTCACTCGGACTGGGGACACGAGGGGGTGTCCGACCTGCCCCCCCTGACCCGCTCGCTCGATTCCTCCTCGCACCCCGAGGAGCAGGCGGGGGGGCCGGGCCCGGAGATGGGCGCTTTGCCCAGGGTACTGATGGGCCCCACCTGGGAGAAAACAACCGAGGAGGAGCCCCCGGCTCGCTCCCCGCTGCACGGCGGCGCCCTGACGGAGGAATCGCTGCCCTCCTCCGCCTCCCCCCCGGGGGACGCCCCCGCCGCCCCCGGCCCTGCCCGCGGCTGGTGGCATGGGCTGCTCTCGCCTCCGGGAGGAGCGCCGGGAGAGCTGGAGGACTAACATCCACCACCTGCTGGACCTGGAGGAGCAGTGGGACCAGCTGTACCACCAGGAGCTGGCCATGTGGCAGGAGGAACGGGCCACGCAGCGCGAGGAGAGGGCCCGCGACCGCGAGCTCCAGTTCCGCCTGCTGGGCGTCCTCACGGACATCCGCGACGAGCTCCGTTACCTGCGCCAGGAGAGGGCCAGCGCCCGGCAGAGCCAGGCACCCCAACCCGAGCCCCATCCGGACCCCAGCCCTCTCCTCGAGCAGCCCAAAGCCGAGCCCAGCTTCCCCGAGCCGCAGGCTGGGAACGCCAGCTGGGCAGAGCCCGCCGTGCCCAGCCGAAGCCCTTTTGGCAACCGGGGCCGGGGGCGGCGCAGGGGGCGGCCGCGTGGCTCTGCCTCCAGACACAGACGGCTCTTCCTCACCAACAGCTAGGGCAGGCGGGGACGCTGTCCCATGAAGGACGTGGTATGGGGACGGCTCTCCCTCCCCGGGCGTGCGGTGTGGGTGCCTGGCCACGGCACGGACCGATGGGTGCGCTCACGGTGCCGCACGCGCGCGCGTGTTGGTGTCACGGAGGCGTGCGGCCGTGAGCGAGGTGTTAGCACCGATTGTGCCACCGTGCCCGGACCCCGTGAGCACGGGGAAGGTGCAAGGGGACACGCCGGCGAGCCCCGGGTCAGGAGGCGGCGAGGCACACTCGTGTGCCAGGTGTGCGCGCACCCCCGGGAGGTGCCCGCGGCGGGAGGCGTGCATGCGCGGCGCTAGTCGAGTAGGATTTACTACCTTGGGGGGGGTGGGGAGTTAGGAACACTTAGTTGCGGACGCGCCAACATTTTATGCAAATCATTTAATGACCTAATTTGCATATAACCGTAAACCTCTGTTAAAAAAAAAAAGAAAAAAAAAAATCCCCCAAAAAACAGAAAAGCCATCTCCGTGTGTGTGTGTGTGTGTGTGTGTGTGGACTCAGTGCTGGGGCGGCCGTGACCCCCATCCCCACCCCAAATCTTGCTCGTGCCGATGGCACGGGTGCTGCTGTGTCATGCTGGTAATTCGCCCTGCCCACGGTGCCTCCTGGCTCTAATCCCCCCCCCCGGTGCCAGCACGGTGCTGCCGTGGCCCAGGGGGGTCTGGATGTGCCCGTTTGCCGTGAGCCCACTGCGGGGTTGGGGTCCCCGCCAGCTCCAGCCCTGCTGGATGATCCGTGTCCAACTGGGCCCCCCCCGGGTGGCCAGGTCCCTTTTGGGGAGGGGGACAAGAAGCAGCTGGAGGCGTGAGATGGGTGCTGGACACTGCAGGCCGGGAGCATTTTATTTGCAGCAACACGATTCAGAAATACATGGCGGGGGGGTGATGCGGGGAGAGGTGGGCTCCGGTCTCCGTGCGAAGCCCAGGGCTCGATTCCCAGGGGAGGCTTCGCTGCGAACTGGTGCCCAGGAGCGCAGTGAGAACGCAAGAAAAACCATAAATGCTGGGATTTGGTGAGAATCGCTAGAAAACAGCTTTACAAGGCAGGGAGTCCCTGCTGGGCTGGGGCTGCTGCTGGCCCTGGGGGACCCAAATGGCCACAGGAGCAGCCTGGCCCTGCCTCTGGCTCCGGAGGTGATGCTGCCACCCTCCTGGGGGGGGCTCCGTGGGGGACAGGGACTTGGGCGGGGGGACCCCCGCGGGGCTGTGGCGAGGGCGCTGCAGCCCAGCACGACTTTATTCCGCGTTGCATCGTCCATACAAAAAAAACGACACCCCAAGCACTGTACAGAGCGGGACGGCGCGGGGAGTAAAAATAAGCAGCGGGGGCTCGGAGGAGGTGGGGGGGGGGGGGCAGAGCAGCAGGCGGGGACGGCGGCGGGGGGCAGCGTGGGGGGGGGCATGGCAGGCAGCAGCTCCCGTCCATCATCCCCAGATTGTCTGGCGGGGGCGAGCGGCAGGGGGGTGACGAGCGTCCCTCCGTGGTGGGGCTGGTGTGGGGGGGGGGGGGCAGAGACCCCTCCCCACATGCAGGGCAGGTGGCACCGCTGCCTGCGCCCCCCCCCGGCCGGGCGCCTGGATTTGGTACAAAGCTCCGTGGCCGGCGCGTGCCCCCTGTCCCCCCCAAAAAAAAAAGTCCTGGGGAAGGGGGCATCAGTCCGCAGCGGGGCCGTCCCCTAATCCCCGGGGGGCAAGCCGGGGGGGGGCAGCGGCGGGGGTCCGGCTTCGGCCCCGTGCACGCGCTGGTGGTCCTTGAGGGACTCCTTGTAGCGGAAACTGCGGCCGCAAGCCGGGCACTGGTAGGGCCGCTCGCCCGTGTGGATGCGCTGGTGCTTGAGCAGGTTCTGCTTGCGGATGAAGCTCTTGCCGCAGGCGGCGCAGACGAAGGGCCGCTCGCCCGTGTGCAGCCGCTGGTGGTTCTGCAGGTGCTCTTTGCGGCTGTAGCACTTGCCGCACTCGGCGCACTTGTAGGGCCGCTCGCCGCGGTGGATCATCTGGTGCCGCACCAGCCCCGAGTGGCAGTTGAAGCTCTTGCCGCACTCGGCGCAGGGGTAGGGGCGCTCGGCCGCGTGGCTCCGCTGGTGGATCCGCAGGCTCTTCTTGCCGCTGAAGCTCTTCCCGCACTCGGCGCAGCCGTGAGGACGTTCCTCCGACGGTGCCGCCGCCGACGGTGCCGGGACCCCCCCGGGATCAGCTCCCGGCCCCGGTTCCGCACCCAGGGTTTTGCCCAGTCTGTGCTGTGCGGGCAGGGCCCCCCCGGCCACCGCTGCTTGTCCCTCGGGGCTCCCGAAACCAGAGCCTGGGAAGAGCAGCTCCGTCGAGGCACCCGGCAGCACCTCCTCTGGGGGCTCGGCGCGGGGACACCGCTCCTCCGTCTTCACCAGCAGCCCCTCGCTGGCTAAAAGGGGGAAAAAGGCCACTGGTCAGCAGCTGCTGGGGACCGGGGATGGCCCCAAACTGGGGGGCAGCACCCACAGCCCAGCCCAGAGCTGTGGGGATGTCCCTGGTGCCTCCCTGCCCGATCCTAATGCATTTTTTCAGCATGGCCAGGGCATAGGAACAGCCGCAACGACCGAAATCAGTGGGAGCAGGGGCTCTGCCACCCCTGGCACCCAACTGGGGGCCGTTCCTGAGCTGCACCAGCATGGACAGGATCTGCAGCGGCCGTGGGGAAGAGCAGGACCCGCACAGCTCCTGCTGGGCTGAGAACCCCCCCCCCCCCCTCAATTCAGGCTCAGGCATCGCTCACCGGGGCCGGGACCGGTGAGGATTTCCCTCTCCGGCAGCTCCCAGGGCTCCCTGACGCACGGCTCTTCCTCCTGCTTGATCCACGACAAGAAATCGTGCGCCGTGATCAGGGCGTCCGCACCTGCGGGGAAGGGAGGGAGGGGACCTCAGGGCCGCGTCCTGCACAGGGTGGCACAGGGAGGAAAACGCCCCAAAAAGCCGGCACCGAGCGCCCGGCTGGCGGATCCCACGGGCGCTGCCGGCCTCACCTGCACAGGGGTCCGCGGGCATCCCCCGGTCCTCCCCGAATTGCTGCTCCCCCACGAACGCCACCTCCTGCTTGATCCGGGACAGGATGTCGGAGGTGGAGATCAGCGGCTCTGCTCGCAAGGAGAGATTTGGCTGGCGCCGGGCTGCAGCCACCCCGCGCGGCCCCGCTCCTTGCCGGGGCGCTGGGAACGGCCACGGGGTGGGGGCACCCCTGCTCCGGCCACGCTGAGTGTCCCTGTCCCATAGCGGTGACGGGGCCCTGAACACCTCTGGGGGAGCTGTAGGATGGGTGGCCACGGGACATTCCTTGGGGACGGGTGGCCACGGGACATCCTATGGGGATGGGTGGCCATGGGATGGTCCCTGGGGATGGGTTATGGGATGTCCCACGGAGATGGGTGACCCCAGGACATCCCACAGGGATGGGTGACCATGGCACAGCCTATATGGACAGGTGACAGCCACACAGCCCTTAGGGACAGGATGCTGGGGACGTGCGCCCTAAATGCAGGAGGGAGGGAGCCGATGCCTCACCCGCGCAGGCGTCCGCCGGCAGCTCCCGGGGCTCCAGGTCCCTCTGCTCGGGGACGCAGGGCACCTCCCCGCGCTCCAGCCGGGGCTGGGGGTCGCTCCTGGCCAGGGCTGCGTCTGCTCAAGGGGGGGGAAAACAGCGCGGGGGTCGCAGCTGAGATCTCCCCATCGTGGGGCCGGGGGGAGAGACGGCGCCGAACGCCCCCGGCCGCCGGGAAAAAAAAAAAGGGCAAAAAGGGCAAAAAAAAAAAAAAAAAAAAGGGCTGTTTACCCAGGGAGATCAAAGACTCGTAGTTCTCCTTCACCAGGTTATTGTACAGCTCCTTCTGCCACTCCTCCAAATTCTTCCACTCCTCCGCCGAGAAGTAGACGGCAATGTCAACAAACGTCACCGGCACCTGCGGGGACAGGTCCGCGGGCAGCTCAGCGTCCTGGGGACACCCGTCCCTTCGATATCCCGGCCACGGGGACTCGTGCAGCCCCCACAGACGGTCCCCAAAAGGCTCCTGAGCCACCCCCTGCGCCCACCCCGGCCCTGCCCACCTTGGGCACCTCTCCGCGGGGGCCGGGGGGCAGGCGCAGCACCCAGAAGTTCCTGTTCTTCAGCAGGTTCTCCACGTTCTCCAAGCGCCGCTGCAGCAGCCCGTACTCCTGGATGAGGGTGCCCAGCACTGCCCACTTGCTCTCCAGCTGGTTGCCGAATTCCATGGCGGTTTTCTCGCAGTCCAGGAGTTTTTTCTCGGCCGTGCCGGAGCGACCCTCCAGGCTGAGCAGGCGGGTGGCCAGCAGGTCGATTTTCCTCTCCATCGCCTGCACCGTGGCCACCACGGTCCAGAGCGAGGCCTCGGCCGAGTGCAGCTGCGCCTCCCGCACGTGCGCCCGCTCGGGCAGCAGCGGGGGCTGCAGCGGCATCAGGTGGGGGGGCTCCACGTTCCACTCCTGCACCTGCACCGCGAGGAACAGGCTGGGGAGGGGGCACGCCGGGTACCCCCTCCCCCAGGTACCCCGGACCCCGCGGGTACCCCCGTGCCGTGCCCAGGTCCCCAACTGTGCCATGGGGAGGGCGCAGGGCCCCTCCTGCCCCCTGACCCTATTTTTTTGGGGATTTTCTGGTTGTGCCTGGGTGGAGGAAGGAGTAGGGTGGGCAGGGAGCAGTGGGGCCACAGTGGGGCCACCGGGGTCAGCGGGGCACGGGGACATCCCAGGGCTGGAGCCCCTGGTGGAGCATCCCGGGGACATGGGAGCATCGTGGGGACATGGGGACATTGTGGGGACATGGGGACATTGTGGGGATATGGGGACATCGTGGGGACATGGTGGCATCCAAGAGGAACGTGGGCATCCCGGACAGGGCTGCAGGGGGACATCCTTGGGGGGGAAGATGGGGACATCCAGGAGGGAGATGGGGACATCCCGGGGGCACCCCGGGGGCACGGGGACATCCCGGGGGGGAGATGGGGACACCGAGGGGGGACACGGGGACACCCAGAGGGGACACGGGGCTATCCCGGGAGGGCCATGGGACCACTCGGGTCCATTTGGGGGAGGTCTCGGGGCTCTGCTCCATGTCCCCAGCGCCTTTTCCAGGGACCCCCGGAGCGGGGCCCCGTCGGGGAGCGCCCCAGCAAGGCGGGCGGGGCGGCTCCGCCTCCGGGCCGGGGCCGGGGCTCGGGACCGGGGCCGGGCTCGTCGGGGGAGCCCCAAACCGAGCCGGACCGGGCCCGTTCTTACCTGGGCGGGCGCCCACTCGGCCATGGCCCCGAGGAGCTGGGCCGGGCCCCGTTGGTTAGGGCCGGGCCTCGGCGGGGAGAGCTGGCAACCGCCGGGCCCGGGGCCGTTCCCGGAGCCGTTCCCGGAGCCGTTCCCGGGGCAGCTCCCGGGGCCGGTACCGGGGCCGCTGTCGGTGGTTGAGCGCTGCGGGCCGGGCCCCGCCGCCCCACCGAGGAGCCAGGGGCAGCCGGGGAATTGCATCCGCCTCGCCGGTGCTTGGCGGGCGCGGGCGGGGGGGAGAGCGAAAGAGGAGAGAGAGGAGAGAGGAGCACTGCCGCCTACCGGCCCGGCACCGGCACCGGGAGAGGCACCGGGAACCGCACCGGGAGTGGGACCGGGAGAGGAACCGGCAGAGGCACCGGGATGCCCCGCCGGGAGGCTCCGTCCTGCGCCCCCCCCCCCGCCATGGGACGCGGCTGGCATGGGGAGATCTGTGGGGATTCACTGTGTGGGGTGGGGTGGAAGGGGGCAGGGGGCAAAGGGGGACAAGGGGGACAGGAGGGGGACAGGGGGGACACTGGAGATCAGAAGGGACACGCAGGATAAGGGGGGGACGAGGGGGATCAGGAGGACAAGGGGGACAAGGAGGGGGACAGGAGGGGACAGAGGGAACAGAGGGGACAAGGGGAACTGGGGGGGGACCAGGAGGACAAGGGGGACAAGGAGGGGGAGTAGGGGGACAGGAGGGGACAAGGAGGGACAAGGGGTCAGGAGGGGACACTGGGGATCAGAAGGGACAAACAGGACAAGGGGGGGACAAGGGGGATCAGGAGGACAAAGGGGACAAGGAGAGGGACTATGGGGACCAGAGGGGACAAGGAGGACAAGGGGTACAAGGGGGGGACCAAGAGGACAAGGAGGGATGAGAGGGACAAGGAGGGGGGCAAGGGGGACAGGAGGGGATATTGGGAATCAGAAGGAACAAACAGGACAAGTAGGGGACAAGGGGGACCAAGACAAGGGGGACAATGAGAGGGACTAGGGGGACCAGAAGGGACAAGGGAACTGGAGGGGACAAGGAGGGGGACTAGGGGGACAGGAGGGGACAGAGGGATCAGAGGGGACAAGGAGGACAAGGGGTACAAGGAGGGGACCAGGAGGACAAGGAAGGATGAGAGGGACAAGGAGGGGGACAAGGGGGACAGGAGGGGACACTGGGGATCAGAAGGGACAAGCGGGACAAGGGAGGGACAAGGGGGACCAGGAGGACAAGGGGGACAAGGAGGGGGACTAGGGGGACCAGAGGGGACAAGGAGGGACAAGGGGGACAGGAGGGGACAAGGAGGGGGACAAGGGGAACAGGAGGGGACAAGGGTGACTAGGAGGACAAGGGGGACAAAGAGAGGGACTATGGGGACCAGAGGGGACAAGGAGGGACAAGGGGAACAGGAGGGGACAAGGGTGACTAGGAGGACAAGGGGGACAAAGAGAGGGACTATGGGGACCAGAGGGGACAAGGAGGACAAGGGGTACAAGGGGGGGGACCAAGAGGACAAGGAGGGATGAGAGGGACAAGGAGGGGGACAAGGGGTCAGGAGGGGACACTGGGGATCAGAAGGGAAAACCAGGACAAGGGGGGGACAAGGGGGACCATGAGGACAAGGGCGACAAGGAGAGGGACTAGGGGGACTAGAGGGGACAAGGAGGGACAAGGGGGACAAGGGGGACAAGGAGGGGGACAAGGGGGACAGGAGGGGACACTGGGGATCAGAAGGGACACGCAGGACAAGTAGGGGACAAGGGGGATCAGGAGGACAAGGGGGACAAGGAGAGGGACTAGGGGGACCAGAGGGGACAAGGAGGGACAAAGGGGACAGGAGGGGACCAGGAGGACAAGGAGGGATGAGAGGGACAAGGAGGGGGACAAGGGGGACAGGAGGGGATATTGGGAATCAGAAGGGACAAACAGGACAAGTAGGGGACAAGGGGGACCAAGACAAGGGGGACAATGAGAGGGACTAGGGGGACCAGAAGGGACAAGGGAACTGGAGGGGACAAGGAGGGGGACTAGGGGGACAGGAGGGGACAGAGGGATCAGAGGGGACAAGGAGGACAAGGGGTACAAGGAGGGGACCAGGAGGACAAGGAAGGATGAGAGGGACAAGGAGGGGGACAAGGGGGACAGGAGGGGACACTGGGGATCAGAAGGGACAAGCGGGACAAGGAGGGACAAGGGGGACCAGGAGGACAAGGGGGACAAGGAGAGGGGCAAGAGAGACCAGAGGGGACAAGGAGGACAAAGGGAACAGGAGGGGACAAGGAGGGACAAGGGGGGACAAGGAAGGGGACAAGAGGGAAAGGAGGGGACACTGGGATCAGAAGGGACAAGCGGGACAAGGGAGGGACAAGGGGGACCAGGGGGACAAGGGGGACAAGGAGAGGGACTAGGGGGACCAGAGGGGACAAGAAGGACAAGGGGAACAGGAGGGGACAGAAGGATCAGAGGGGACAAGGAGGACAAGGGGCACAAGGGGGGACCAGGAGGACAAGGAGGGATGAGATGGACAAGGAGGGGGACAAGGGGGACAGGAGTGGATATTGGGAATCAGAAGGGACAAACAGGACAAGTAGGGGACAAGGGGGACCAGGACAAGGGGGACAAGGAGAGGGACTATGGGGACCAGAGGGGACAAGGAGGACAAGGAGGGACAAGGGGGACAAGAATGGGGACAAGGGTGACAGGAGGGGACAAGGGTGACTAGGAGGGACAAGGGGGACAAAGAGAGGGACTATGGGGACCATAGGGGACAAGGAGGACAAGGGGTACAAGGGGGGGACCAAGAGGACAAGGAGGGATGAGAGGGACAAGGAGGGGGACAAGGGAGGGGACAAAGGGGACAGGAGGGGATACTGGGGATCAGAAGGGACACGCAGGACAAGGTGGGGACAAGGGGGATCAGGAGGACAAGGGGGACAATGAGAGGGACTACGGGGACCAGAGGGGACAAGGAGGGACAGGGAAGGAGGGGACAAGGAGGGGGACAAGGGGTCAGGAGGGGACTACTGGGGATCAGAAGGGAAAACCAGGACAAGGGGGGGGACAAGGGGGACCAGGAGGACAAGGGGGACAAGGAGAGGGACAAGGAGGACAAAGGGAACTGGAGGGGACAAGAAGAGGGACAGGAGGGGACAGGGGGGATCAGACGGGACAAGGGGTACAAGGGGGGCACCAGGAGGATAAGGAGGGGTGAGGGGGGAAAAGGAGGACACGGGAGAAGGGGACAGGGGGCAGAAGGTAGGCAGGGGGACTGGGAGGATGAGGAGGGGACAAGGGGGACAAGAAGGGGGAACAAGGAGGCTGAGCATCACCCTGCACCCAACATTTTGTTGCATTTTTTTTCTGATTTATACATTCAGCAGATGTTGTCTGCAGCTCTTGGGGTCACAAGCGCGAGGAACGTCACCGCTGTCCCCTTAACGTGGCACTGGTGAGACCGCAGCTCCCGCCAGCACCCCGAAAGGAGGAGGCGGGGAGGGAGGTGTCCGGCATTTACTCAGGTGACAGCACGTGAGGGAACAGGCTCGAGTTGCCCAGGGCATGGCTACGTTGGGTTTGGGGCAGGATTTCTGCATGGAGAGGGTGGCCAACGGGAGCTGTGGGTTGGTGCACCCAGTGTGCCAGGCTCTGGTTCACCTTCTTGTCACAGAATCCAGCCCGGTTGGGGCTGGAGGCAACCCCCAGGTCCTTCTGGTCCCAGGGGTGCTCCAGCAGCCCCCAGAGCTGCCCTTGTTCCTACTGTTTAGGAGAAATTCAGAGAGTTTAAAACGAAAAATGATTTATTTGTGAGTGTGTTTCTGTCACCGGTACTCCTGACAAGGTGTTGGGTGTTAATTAGCGTGGCAAGCTTTACATTTTCAGGTTGACTTTTAATAAATAAATAGATAAATAAATAAATAAATAGTAATAATAATAATAATAATAATTGTAATAATAATAATAATTGTAATAATAATAATAATAATAAGAAGAAGAAGAAGAAGAAGAAGAAGAAGAAGAAGAAGAAGAAGGAGTTGGAAATTCTCTTTAAAGAATACCCAACTTGTTAAAGACCTGTTTTGTGTTTTTTTTTTTTCCTTCTGGCTGCACAAACCCGACACTTTACCCAGCCACTTCTATTTCCCCATGAACCTTATTTCTCAAGGCGCGCACAGATTCTCAGCTTTGGTTTCCTATCCAGGAACACCGTCTATGAAGCGCTCCTGCTCTCCCTGCTGTGAGGATCAGGGCAGTTTGTTCCGCAGCAGGTCAAACTCCACAACCGGAGAATTAAAACAAAACCTCCCGGAGAGGAATTCGGAGAATCTCGTGATTCCCATTCACGTTTTTGGCCATTCCTTACCTTTTTACAGTGTCTGCGTCCCCTCTGCTGGCTTCCCACCACGAATTTCCCATGCTCCTAGCAGTTACCACACTAGAGGATTCCCATTTCCACCCCACTTCATTCAGGTTTGTTCCATTCTTCTTTAGCCTAAGTTTTGGACTAGAATTATTGTCACTGCCTTTTGATGCTTACTTTATGCCGGTTTTTCTTTCCTTTTAATTTAAGGAGCACATTCATTATGCAAATAATTTATCTATGGTGCTAAGCAAGACGTTGCTGCATGGTAACACGAGACACCTGAAGAGATGCACAGTCCAGTAAAAATGCACCTGCAGAAGGGCATCACAGCACCCCGGTGCCAAACACCTCGAAAACAGGGTCCTGCTTTGCTCCACCGTGAATTTAATTAAAAACATTCCGAGTCCTTTTGCACTGGGCAAAAATCTTTAATGTTTTCAGTGCCTTTTGTCTACAAAGGTTGAAACCGCAATGCTTAAATACATCATCAGAAATTATTTTAATACAGAATTTGAAAATAATTATATCAGAAACAATATCAGGAATTACTATAAACTTCAAAAATAGTTAACAGCAACATGTTGAGCAATTCTAGCACACAATTTAATCATTACAGGTGTAAGCCTGGTCTCAATCAAGGCAAGATTCTCACCAGCATCAGTGGAGCCAGCAGCACTGGAAACACTGGGAACAAACCCAATAGAAGTTATGTTGTAAAAGTCAGCATTTTGGGCAAGCGAGATTTAACACACCGTCACGATTTTGGGTCACCCCACTGGCTGCGTGGCTTTCCACCTCTAACTCTATTTAATATCTCCACTTAAACCTCTAAGCAAGGTGATTATTTTCACTCCAACACACAAAAATCTCCAATGTAGGCGACCGTCTGTGCCTGGTCTTCCCCTGGGACGGCTGCTCCTCAGCCCCACGCTTGCAGCACAGGGGTAGGAAGGTCTTGTGCGGAGGATTTACGTTCAGCAGCTCCTGAACAAACTGTAGGAGTGTGATGTGCCAAATTCAGCCCCGCTGTTCCAGGTGCTCTTTGTTTCGCAGAAGGAAGGAGTTCTGCTAAAATGGTGCTTTACAGGAGGGGAAGAATCAAAGAATCCCCATTCAGGAGCATCCAGCACGCCGGCAGCTACCAAGGCATCGCGTTGCGTGGGAGAAGGATAAAAGAAATGCTGTCCCCAGGGTAAGTTTTAAGAAGAAAATAAGGAGAAGTGAGTGATAAAAGAGTTTTCTGGAAGCTGCTCCTGCTTTGGGGATGGGCAGGGATCCCTCGGGGCCATGAGTACTCCCTTAATCTCCTTCAGGATTTACCAAGCTCCATCCCAGCCCCAGTTGTTTCCTGGTCCTCGAGGGAAGCCAAGGACATAACTTCATTCACGGCTTCAGTGCAGAACACAGCACCTTCACTGCCACCGTTACTGTCCCATCAGTGTTTTTGTGTTTTTTTTTTTTTGTGTGTGTGTTACACCAGACCTTTACACTTTAACCTGAGCTCCCAAGCTCCCAGAAGCTCCATTTTCTGCTCACAACTCTGCAGACAATCCTGTTCTGATCGTATCTTGGTCTTCTCCAACATGAAAACCCCCCAGCAATTTTCTGCTTAAATTTTCTGCTTAAATTTTTCTGCCTAAATTTTCTGCTTAAATTTTTTTCTGCCTAAATTTTCTGCTTAAACACAGCCATTTTCTAGCACAGGCTGCTTTGTGCATCCGAACGTTCCTTTAATAATGCTTTCGGTACAGTCAACGCTGCTGTGTGTTAACTCCCCCTCCCAGACATGAATCATCCAGCCACCAATTCAAATCAGCTCCTAATCAATGCCTCTTCAGGCTGGCACCAACCCTGCCATGCTTGGGTTTGATTCGGTTTAACGAAACTGCCTCATCCTAAACCTTCCCCTGTAATTGATACGGGACTAGAACCATCACCTCTGGTGGATTATTTGCTAACAATGAAAATTTATCCCAGGGAAGCTTTGGGCACAGCAGTTACAGGTCCACGTTGTGAGTTTGCAAGTGATTTGTGTGCCTGGGTTTCTCTGCAAAACTTTTTTTACTCGCTGTCCACTTGTAAGGCCTCTGTCCCGTCTGAGTTTTCTGGTGTCAGATCAGATCTGCGCGGTGACCAAAGCTTTTCCTGCAGTCTGTGCGTACGTATGACCATACCTGATTCCTTCTGGTGTGAATCTGCTTTTGTTTTAACAGTCCTGTTTTCAGTTTAGAGGTTTTCTGACATGCTGCACACACACACAGCCTCTCTCCCGTCTGGGTTTCCTGGTAAAGAAGGATCTCTTGGAATTCGTCAGGCTCTCCTCTCCCAGGAGGGCTGTTACCTCTTCTGCTTCCTGTTGTTCCATTTGCCTGACCTGCTCCCGAATTGCGATGGCTCTCAGATGTTACCCCTGATGTTGTCTGAAACTTGGACGTGGAGTCCTGGGATCCTCCTGAACACGATCCAAACAGCTCCGCATTTCCTGAGCTCTGAGCTTGATCCCAGCAGCACTACAGCCTGGAACAAAAAGATTCCAAACTTTACCTGATGTGATCTAATATAAACTTCCAAAGAACAAAACCTTATTTTTTGTGAGAACAAGAAACAGAACAAGTTTGGGAACAAAAAGCAGGGACGCATTAGAACCCCAATCCCTCTGATCCTAGAAGCCCGTGTTTATTATGCTGTGGGTTTAATTTTTGGCTGGTCTGAGGCCATCACACACCTGTGCTGAGACCTGCAGGAATTCCTCTTTCCCCAGAATCCCGCTGCTCCTTGACACGCGGCACTTCCCTCGGCCGGATATCGATGTTGGGAACAGGACAGTCTGCACAGGGAACACGGGGAAACAATAACCACCATTTCCATGTTCTGACACCTCCCCCAAATCCCCCAAATTACAGAGGTATTGCCTAACCTACTTTAATTCCCAACGTAATAAGTTGCACAAAGACCAGTGCTGAGGATGGCTTCGTGTCAGGCTATTCGCTTCCAGTCTCCAAGCCCTGTACTTTCTCTCTGCCCTTTTTTTTGTAGCATGACTCATTTTCATTCATTTACACGGAAAATAGTGCGAAAAATTGTGCAAGTGTAATTCATAGTTAATAGGAATAAAAATGATTCATGTCACTGCTTTCCCCCAGGTAGTTCTTTTTCATGCAGAGCAAGGCACACGCTTCTTTAACAGAGCAGAGCTGTACAAAAAAAAATAGAGGCTGCTGTCTGCGCTCCAGCTCTTCTGCTGTAAAAAATAGAAGACACGTAAAGAATGAAAAAGTGGAATTGCACCCTCTCATTATTTCATGGATGTTCAGATGTGAAAGTGCAGAAATAGCAGCAGAATGAGGTTAGGCTAAATCAGCACTTCTCCACCAGAGCTGTCACAAAGAGGAAAGTGGAGTAAGCAACAGCTGAGGCTTCTCGGGTTCGCAGCACTTCTGTTTCTGCAGCCTGGAGGACAAGTAAAAGCACATCTAGCCCGTGACTACAGCCAGGCTCATTTTTCTATTAATCTGAGGAATCGGGTGAAAGCTGAGGAAGCAGAGGGGGTTCGCACCTTCAGATTCAGAAAAGCAATGATGTAGTTGGGCGCTTAACACTGACTGGTAAGACTTCTTCATTTTCTGGGGCGTCATTCATGTTATTCAAGTACTGCTGCATCAAAATAGTTCAATATTCTTCAGTGAACCACAACAAACAACATATATGAGGGTTTGGAGATGATGGAAAGACTCACAACTTGGCCATGATCGACAAGACTCACGCTGCCGTGCGTCGTCCCAGCTCCTCAGCTCGTGAGTTTAAACCTTTTCTAAACCTTTGCTCCTTGACAGGTAGCACATAAATCAACCGGGTCAACTCAGGAGCATCTAAAGATTAATCCACGATAAATAAATAAATAAATAAATAAATAAATAAATAAATAAATCGAAGGATTTGAGGAGTGACTGGTAGGGAAGGGACAGGCAGACGCAGCGCGGACCCCTCTGCCTTCTGTGAGAAACGGGAAACTAACCCTGACCCGAAGTGGTTGAGGATTTGTGATTCTCCTTCATCACTTTCTCGTAAAGCTCTTTCTGCCAGTCTTCCAGGTTCTTCCCCTCATGTGCTGCCGCATTATCAAGTGTCCCAGGGACCTAAAACAGAAAGTGTTCAACGCTTGGTGCCAGCAGTACACCATACACCCTCGAAAGCCTCTTTGCTCATCAGCCAAATGTTTCTAGCAATGCCCACGTTACGTATAACCAGTGTCTTACCTCAGGAATTTACATGTGAATCCTCTGGTGTTATCTCTACACATAGCTCAGAGCAGTAAAATGATTTTAAAATAGCGTGACTCGGTGATTTTCTAAAACAGCCGGGTCAAAAATTAATCACAAAAAATGTGGTGAGTGATCCTGAAACTCTAGTCACTGAATGAATGAAAAATAAAATAAAATAAAATACAATAAAATAAAATACAATAAAATAAAATAAAATTAAATAAAATTAAATTAAAATAAAATATAAAATAAAATAAAATAAAATATAAAATAAAATAAAATAAAATTAAATTAAATTAAAATTAAATATAAAATAAAATAAAATATAAAATAAAATAAAATAAAATAAAATAAAATAAAATAAAATAAAATAAAATAAAATAAAATAAAATATTCAGAGTGTATTTTAACTGAGGCAATGCCACAGTCTGTCAGACCCGGCTCTAAGAGTTTTTCCCCTGCTAATAAAACTGAAAAGTTAATGCAGACAAAAAATTCAGCCCTGTGAATACTGAAAGATGATTACTGCAGTGTCTGCAAAAATATATTGAAGGTGAAATGCTAAAAATATGTTGGTTTTTTTCCATTAATTTCTTTCAACTTAGCCAGATATTTCTTTCTTTGAGGTGAACGGTGCTGCACGCAGCTCCTATCGCTATGGGCAGGACCCAAACACGGGATCTGTGCGGTCATGGTGAGAAGGAGCTCACACCTTGCCTTCAGACGTGTTACATACGTGGCTGCACATGTCTACAAACACGGGCTGTGCGTGTACTTTATCTGCACATGCCCAGCTGCTCGCTGCTGCCAGGAGGAATCGCTGGGGCACTCGGGTTTCAGTGGTGAGGGGTGCCTCGGGTACTGTGCTCAGTTTTGGGCCCCTCGCTACAAGAAGGACATGGAGGTGCTCAAAGAGGTCCAGAGAAGGGCGACGAAGCTGCTGAGGGGCCTGGAGAACAAGTCCTACGAGGAGCAGCTGAGGGAGCTGGGCTTGTTCAGCCTGGAGAAGAGGAGGCTCAGGGGCGACCTTATCGCTCTCTACAGATACCTTAAAGGAGGCTGTAGTGAGGTAGGGGTTGGCTGTTCTCCCATGTGCCTGGTGACAGGACGAGGGGGAATGGGCTAAAGTTGCGCCAGGGGAGTTTTAGGTTAGATGTTAGGAAGAAT